ATCATAAGGAAAGCGATATATGGGAGAATTTCATTTCCTCTGTTAAACTATGATCTTGTCTACCCTGTTGTGCTCTGTAGCATTATCTTTATGCATTTGTTACTGTTCCTAATCATTTTTTCAAAAATTGTTACCAATTTTCTAAACTGTGAATGGGCATTTTGTATGGTACTGTATTTTACATTAGAAAGAAATCAATAAACACTTCAATTTAAAAAAAAATAATAATAATAATCATGCTACTTTTCTGTACAGCACAAAAGCTTTTTCTCTCTTAATTGATAGAGGAATATTTGATGACAGTGGGTTTTTGTAAGTGGGTTTTGTGCTAACATTAGTGCTGTGCATGAGTGTGTGTGTGTGTGTGTGTGTGTGTGTGTGTGTGTGTGTGTGCAGCTGAAAGATAACATCATTCATAAAGATGGGCTAGTTTATCCTCCACCCATACCCACAAATGTGTAAAAGTGCCACTCCTTCCTGATTCAGAGTAAAATCGCTGCCTTGGAGCATTAAATATCTGAGTTCCGCAGCCTCCAGTTTGCAAATAACTGTGTTAGACACTGTCTATATTACATTAAAAAATTGTTTAACTTAATATTTAACAGTCACGGCTAAATTAGTTTTGATTAAACAGCCTGAGCTGGACAGCTGGAATAAACTTACCATTCCCAAGTAAATACAGTTGGAACCAGAAGTTTACATACACTGTATGAAAAGGCACATAACCATTAAAAAAGTCTGATGTTAATGTGACTAAACTTTTTCTCTTTTAGGTAAGTTAGGGTTATCATATGTGTTTCTGTAATGCTTAATAGCAGAATAATGAGAGAGATATTTTTTGAGAAATTGTTATAACTTTTCTTGAAAGTCAAGTTTATGTAACGGAGGCCAGCTAGTAAGTGCTGTGCAGGTAAACCTCACTCCTCTGACCTCCAAAGGACCTCTAGCAACAGACACTATATAGAGGCCATGGTCTTTAGCCTACTTGGTAGAGCACCCAACTCCCATGTAGAAGGTTGCCGGTCTTATTCCAGCTCAGAGCAGGTTGGGTTGTGTAGAACCAGTGGGGTTACATTTACATAAAATAAGATTATTATGCCTCTGAAAAAGCTCAGATGATGTTGTCAAGCTTTGAAAAGTTTTTGATTGGCTAATTGACAACATTTAGATTTATTGGAGGCACAACTGTAGAAAAGTATTTAAGGAAAAACTCAAACACACTGCTTCCTTGTGTGACAACATGGGTAAATCAACAAGCCAGAATCAACAACAAAAAAAAAAAACTAGATTACAATTTACAAAAATACACTGGGAAAAAGAATAACTTTCGGAGACGAGTCCTGTGGTCTGATGGAACTAAGATTGAACTGTTTGGCCATAATGACCAGTGTTACATTTGGAGGACAAAAGGGAAAGCTTACAAGCCTAGGAACACCATCCCAACTGTGAAGTATGGGGGCGGCAGCATCATGTTGTGGGGCTGTTTGCTGCAGGAGGGACTGGTCCACTGCACAGCATAGATGCCATCTTGAAGAAAGAACATTATGTAGAAATACTGAAGCAACATCTCAAGACATCAGCCAGATAATTAAAACTTGGCCACAAATGGGTCTTCCAAACAGACCATGACCCTAAGCACACTGCCAATTTAGTTTAGCAAATGTGCTTTAAAGACGACAGGGTGAATGTTTTGGAGTGGCCATCACAAAGCCCTGACCTCAATCCTATGGATTTGCGGGCAGAGTAGAAAAAGCTTGTGCGAGCAAGACAGCCAACAAATCTGACTCAGTTACACTAATTCTGTCAGGAGGAATGGGACAAAATTCATTCAAACTATTTGGAGAAGCTTGTGGAAGGATACCCAAAACATTTGACCAAAGTTATACAGTTTAAAAGCAAAGCTAAAGAAAAATATCAAGGTAATGTATGTAAACTTTTGACTGTCTAGAAATTAATAATAAAAACAATTCTCTCATTATTCTGGCATTTAGCAAATGTAAATCATTTAGGTAATCCTAACAGATCTAAAATAGTAAACGTTTAGCATGATTTACCATCAGACATTTTTTTTTTAAATAAACATGTTCCTTTTTTTGTGTATGTAAACTTCTGGTTTTAACTGTATAATGGTTTCGTTACAATGTAACATTTTTGTAATGATGTCATGCCAACACATTATGCACAACCTAAAAGCAAAGCGGAAAAAAAATGTAGGTTTAACATTGATTTTTCTATAGATTTTTTCTAAATGTCAGTTTTCTTCATCATTATCTAATTTGCTGAATTTTCTTTGTGACTTTATTTTCATTGTTTGCTGTTTTACAATAGTACTTGATGTCATCTAGTGTCATGGTTATTAATATGATTATATTTTTAAAACATTTATTTATTTATTTTTTTAATAAAGAAATAAAAAAGCAGTTTCCCAGTGTTGGGTTGCAGCAGGAAGGGCATCTGCTGCATAAACATATGCTGGATAAGTTGGCGGTTCATTCCGCTGTGGCGACCCCTGATTAATAAAGGGACAAAGCCGAAAAGAAAATGAATGAATGAATGAATGAATGAATGAATGAATGAATGAATGAATGAATAAAAAAGCAAATCGAAAGGGAAACTAGCTAGCATGTCACATTCACGTCGTTGGTGTTGCTTTAGTGAGTAGTTTGTTTAGGCTGAAACAAAAAAAATTCAGAGTGTGTAGGTGACACATTTGGCACCTTGCATTTGACTGTGCTAATTTATTTAACGTAATAGATATATTAATGTGGTGCGGTGGCTTGTGTACTAGTGTGTACACTATCGCTGTCTCTATGTTGATTCTTTTGAAAACTGCGCCCTCTCTAGAGCCAAACAGGGACTGCATGACAGAATGCTGGAAAAATGTAAACAGTTTATATCGAAGGTTGATTGAGATCACAAACACGCTCAATGCACAAAAGCTTTATCATTCTTATTTAACTCGATTCGAATGGCTTCATAGGCTGAATTCGATTTAAAATATGTAAACTTCTCTGGAAGCACTTTAGTCACTCAATTTAACGCAATCCACAAACTTTTTAGGTCAGATACAGTGCTCAGCATAATGGAGTGCATCCCATTTGGAAAATGAATATTTGTATGCATTTCTCAGTGAATATAGGCAATGTATTTTGGTCCATTTGAACAAAACAGATTTATTAAAGAGATATATTTAATAAAATTATATTTTAGTCACCAAACAAATTTAGAAATAGAAAGATAATACAATTAAATTCAAGCTAAATATTGCAAAAATATATATAAAACCTACAAAATTTCAACTAAATTTTTCCATTTGTCGCTTCTCTAGATTTTGCCTCTTTTTTAAATTTGTATTTAATATTTTTTATAACATACATTTGGCTGTACTAGTTTTTGGTCTGTTATTGTAAGTTACTTTGTTATATGTAACAAAATAGAATTGGCTTCAGTACAGACTAACCTAATGTATATGCACAAATATAATATTGTATAGCTTCCTATAAGATAGATTTGTGATGGGTGTACCCATATATGCTCAACACTGTATAATAGCTAGGTTACTTTTGGAAAGTTTTAAAGTACAAAAAAAGTATACTTTTGTATATGAGCATAATTTTATAAATATTTCTTACTAGATTTTAACAATTTAATGTTTCATTTTTAATTATTGAGCCATTTTATTTATTTGATATTTTTGGTAGTTTTTATTAGTTTTAAATTTATTTCAGAATTCTAATTCTGTCTGTTTTGTATTCATGATTATTTCATATTTAATATGTTATTTTAGCACATCCATTTTTCACTGTAAAACCCATCAGTCAACTTTATCAAAGGAAATGAGTGGAGTTAACTCAAAATGTACTGAAAGTATATTCTACTCATTTGAAAAGAGTTTTGTGCTCAGTATTAAATTTTTCAGTATTATTTTTAACTCAAATGGTTTGTAGCAATATGTTTCCTCAAGCAGTTTGAGTTGCCTTAACTTATTAGATTTTATTCATCAGGTTTTATTGTGCTTAATTTGCTTAGTTTACTTAAATAGAGTAAGTTCACAGTACTGATTCAGATTAGTTTTTGAATTTAAATGGTTTGTTGCAATCGGTTCCCTCAAATGGTTTGAGTTACCTAATGATTAATCTTTTGGGTTTAGTAGTAAAATGTTTGTAAAATAAGTTTGCATTTTTATCTTTTTGTTTGCATATTTTAATTTGGTATTTTATTATTTGTGTTGTTTTTGTTAACTGTAATAACCTTTCAAACTTTTATTAATTATATTTATTTATTTAGTTAAATGCTTTAAAACAGTAAGACATTTTTATTTCATATTTTTCAGAAGGTTGTATATTCTATGCTTTTGCTTTACAGTGTAAAAAAGAAAGTAACAAAAACATTTATTACAAGTACAATTAAATTAAAATATTATAAAAAATATTTTCAAATATTAGTACGTTCATAATTAGTGCACTAAAATATGATTAGTGCACTTTTTAAACCAAAGTTGAGTCAAATATGGACAAACCCAACAGTTAAAAAGTGCAATTAAAATTTAAGTTAAACAACTGACACAACATTGGGCTTGTCCATATTTGACCCAACGTTGGAATACAGCAACCCAGCATTTCTTTCAAGTGTAGTAAATAAATAAATAAATAAATAAGTAACTGTTGAAGTCTGTCCATAATAATTTTTATATATATATTTATATTTTAATTTATTTTAATTGGGAAAAACACTTTTAGGCAACGTTCAAAAAGCGAACAAAATTTTCAAACAAATGTTAAATGATTTACTTTATGAATTATGTTGCACTCAGCATTACATCTACCACCTTATACCTAAAACAGATTGTAAATTATGATTTGCTGTCACTGCAGTAAATCATAATGAAATGACAGTTTAAATCTGATTGCGAATCCAGCAGAGGGCAACCCCAGCTATCAGCCAGTGAGAGCAGCAGAAGGGGGTGTGACTCCACAGACCCCTATTGAGTTTGAGCAGCCATCCACAGCTTTGCTAAGAGACCTGCTCTCTGGCCAGCAGCACTGCAGAAAAAACAGCACATCTCTTCACTTCAGCCTCTGCAGGCGCTTCAAGCTAAAGTAGCTTCCGCTGACTCCTACATTGCATGACTTTAATCTTGAAGATGGGAATGGCAGATTATAAACTGATTTCTCTTCTGGCTCTAGCTTTGCTTCTGAGCGCATGTGCTTCAGAAGGGAAAAGAGGAAGGCCGAAAGGTCAAGAAAAGACACCTGTCGAGGAGGAGAGTTTCGATCAAGATGATTCACAGGAAAGCACACTACAAGAAGAAATCATTCCTGATGAAGACCATGATAAAGAGTCCATGGTGGAACCGCAAACTACAAGTCCTTCGCCTTCCACAGAAACTCTCAATTCCTCTGTGCCTGAAGATGGAAACAGCACTGATGAGCTTGTTCCAACAAAAACGAGCATCACCAAAATCCACAACCCTCTGTTTCCCATCACCGACAGCTCTTACAGCGCGTATGGGATCCTGTTTCTGGCGTTTGTGGTGTTTGCCTTCGGCGTTGTGGGTAATCTTGCTGTAATGTGCATCGTTTGGCAGAATTACTTCATGAGGAGTGCTTGGAACTATTTTCTGGCCAGTCTGGCTTTTTGGGATTTTCTGGTGTTATGCTTCTGTCTGCCGGTGGTGGTTTTCAATGAACTCACCAATAAGAGGCTGCTGGGGGATTTCTCATGCAGAGTTGTGCCTTATATCGAGGTGAGGCCCTCAAAAAGCAAACTGTCAAGTTTACGGTCTCGTTTTGCATGGACTAATTTACCTTCAATTTTTTTTTTGCATATTTTAACTGCAATGTTTACTCTTGGATAGATACAATATCTCCTTGAATTACAAAGATTAAGCTAACCATCTAACTTTCAAAGTTTTACAGTGAAAAATACAAACGGCACTTGAAGATTCCTTAAAATCTATTAGTATTATTTATAATATTCTAGAGGGGTCCACAATATATCAGTATTATTCTGATTATATTCTTGAGTAATATTATAGTTTTAAAATAATTTATTAATTGCAAATTTCCTCATTCAACTACCTTTCATCTAATATTTTAAAGTTAATTATTGATTAAAAATTTTATAAAACTGTAAATGTTAAATAAATTTAATAACAGGGTTACATTTTTATAAAATCTCCAATAAGTATTTTGTTCATACTGTATTTTATACTGCTGTCATCCCCAAATTCACGATTAGCTATTTTAATTATTATTTTTTAATTATTAAAATTTAAAAGTTTTCACTGTATATTACACTGTTGTGCTTCCTAAATTCCCTATTTATTATTTAATTAATTTAATTAATTATTTAACACTTTTTTAATATTCATATATGTATATATTCATAGCATCCAAAAAAAAAAAAAAAAAAAAAAAAAAAAAAATATATATATATATATATATATATATATATATATATATATATATATATATATATATATATATATATATACTTTTATATATACTATTGAATTTGAATTTATTTTCTTCTTTTTTTAAATATTTTAAATATTTCCCAGAGCAAGGATATTTACACAGTATGTCTGATAATATTTTTTCTTCTGGAGAAAGTTTTATTTGTTTATTTTCAGCTAGGATAAAAGCAGTTTTAAGGGCAAAATTATTAGCCCCTTTAAGCTATATATTTTTTCAATAGTCTACAGAACAAACCATCATTACACAATAACCTGCCTAAGTACCCTAACCTGCTTAGTTAACCTAACCTAGTTAAGCTTTTAAATGTCAGGTTAAGCTGTATAGAAGTGTCTTGAAAAATATCTAGCCAATAATTATTTACTGTCATCATGTCAAAGATAAAATAAATCAGTTATTAGAAATGAGTTATTAAAACTATTATGTTTAGGAATGTGTTAAAAAAAAATCTCCTCTCCGGAAAAAATAAACAGGGGGAGTTCAACTGTATGTACATATATGGATATAAAAAAGTATTGCCCATCCTCATTAAAAATGTATTTAATTAATGTACAATTAAAACATTTAATTCAAAATTAAGCTATTAAAACAGTTAATTCACAATAGTAAAAATAATTATTTTCTTAAAATAATCTAATCATTTAATCAACAATTACAGCAACAGTTGACAACAATTTTAATGTTTGTGCATCTAACCAAACCAATTATTATGACTGTATCCTATGAATAGAATCAAATCACAATTACCTGTTGTAATAATTCTCTGCACACCCTCTCCAGGTAACATCTCTCGGTGTGACCACCTTCAGTTTGTGTGCGCTGGGCATTGATCGCTTCCATGCTGCCACCAGCTCCATGCCAAAGGCGCGGCGGGTCGAACGCTGTCAGAAAGTCTTTGCCAAGCTGGCGGTGGTGTGGATCGGCTCCATGGTGCTGGCGGCTCCAGAACTGCTCCTGTGGCAGCTGCATCAGGTCACATCCCCTACCCTGGGTGACCAAGTGGACACCTGCATCATGAGCCCATATCCAGACCTCCCTGAATCCATCTATTCCCTCATTATCAACTACCACGACGCTCGCATGTGGTGGTACTTCGGCTGTTACTTCTGTCTACCTGTGGTCTTCACCCTGCTCTGTCAGCTGGCCACCTGTCACGTGTCTGGCGGGAGCGGAAGCTCTCCCAAGCGTCCAGAGGAGCGATCCCCGTCCAAAAAACAAAAGCTTCAGCATGCTCAGCAGGTAGAACGACAGCTCAACTGCACAGTCATGGCTCTGGCAGTGGTTTACGGTGTCTGTACACTTCCAGAGAATGTCTGCAACCTCACTCTGGCCTACGCTCCCATTCAAGTATCCGAGGAGGTGTCTTCACTCCTAGCCCTCATAAACCAGTTTTTCCTGTTCTTTAAGTCATCGGTGACACCGGTGCTGCTGCTTTGCCTGTGTAAGTCTCTGGGACAGGCCTTCATGGACTGTTGCTGCTGCTGCTGTGAGGAATGCCAGCCAAGCAACTCTTCATCCACCCAAAATGTCGCCGAAGGCAAGCTCAAGACCTCCAATGATGTGTCCTCCATTTTTTTTGATAAAGCCAAGGACACTTCGACTATCTTGTCCATCGGTAGTTGAGTAGGCGGATCCGATCCCCAAGTGATGACATGAAACCTATAAAACAACCTCCTTTTTTTCCCCATCATCCACAAGTGGCCATCTTTACATTTTGCAAGACTGTAGAAGCAAGTTAGTGCTTCTAGGTTAGGTTTAGGTCAATGGGTTCCAAACATGTCTCTGAAGGGCAGCTGTCCTACACAGTTTAGTTCCTATCCTCATTAAGGTCTATTAAGGAAGCTAATCAACGTCTTTTGAAACTTCAAGTGAAGTGAGCCAATGTTGGTTGGAGCTAAACTTGCAGAACAATGACCTTACAGGAACAAGATTGGACAACCCTGGTTTATGTACCGTGTTTACACAAGACCCTGGACTAAAGAAAGTATAGCCCATTACAATCAGTGATTCCGTCTACACTGAGTGTGGAGAAGTTAAATAAACCCCTGACAGTAATCTCAAGACAGAAGAAGTTCTACTTCTGATGTGCTTGCACTTCTTGTGAAAAGAAGGAGAAAGGGATTGGGAGTGTCTGCATTGTCATAACCCTTGTAGACAGCGTTTAACTGATGTGGCGCGACTCAACAATGGTTGCATCCAGTGTAGACAAGAAGTAAGAATATTTTCAATTAGGATCTAAATTAAGGGTGTACAGTCCTGCTCTACAAGTTTACCTTTAACACAAATTAAACATGGCATCTAATCAAAGAGTATATTCCATTTGAAGGATTAACCCCTCTGAGTGACAGCTTCAAAGGAATTAGGGTATAGAGATGAGCCCTTTTGATTGGAACATGCTTTTTACATCAAACAACACCCTGTACAAATGTTCATGGCGGCGTGAGGTGGACATTAGTTACACCCTTTAAAATCCTTCATTTCGAAGGGCCTTTGAAAGTGGCGAGTTTTTAGCACTTCAGATTGAAATGGCACTTCAATAATGCGTCTGTTATTATTTTCACTCTGAAGTGCTCTTCTGAGGGTGTTATATATCCCATTTGGAATTCAAACTGGTAACACAAGTGTTGGAGTTGGTTTGAGTCTAAATTTGCAGAACAGTGAACCTCCAGGAGCAGGATTGAACAGTCCTTGTTCAAGTACAGTGATTCTGTCTACACTGGATGTGGTGGATTATGAAAAATCTGGGAATGAGACATTAAAACATGTTGGACATGAAGGTGAAATGGATTGGGAATGTTCGCTTTGTCACGTCTATTGTAAACATCTTTGATCTAATTTGGGTCAATGCAATTGTTGCATCGTTAGACAGGGTGAAGGGTTAGTGGGTAAAGGGATATTTTCATTTTCGATTTCTCATTTTTAGGATCCATTTTGGGTGTCCAGTCCTGTAGAGTTTAGCTCCAAACGCTCCAACACACTTGTCCGTACATTTCTAGAAAATGCTGTTGAAGGCAAGCCAGTAACCCTTAGCCAAAAAAGCTAAACTAAGAACAGTAACTTTGTTGGTAAATATTTAAGGAGGCAAATGTTGATGAAGAAAAAATGAAAAGCTTTTCATTTGATGTCAAATGATGTGCTTTTCATTTTAGGAATCAACAGCGTATCAGCTATTCTCCAACTCTTTGCCCTTAAACATTAGTTTAGGATTGATCAACAGTAGTCAACATTTGAAATGATTCGAAACATATCATTAACGTTGTCCTAAAATTATTGAACAACACCCGTTATTTTTTAGGACAATTTTTAAAAAGTTGATCTGCTTCATATGTTGACTACTGTATATCTGAGTTAATAGTGCAAAAAATTGTGTTTTATTAGAGAAGCCCCCTACCAATTTGCAACAGGTAGGGTATATCATATGGGACTTCTCATTCATTTCCCAAATTCGGACCATCTTGGTTCAATCATTTCTGAATTTGGCGATCTTGGCCTACAGCCTTGTTTAATATTCGCTATTTAATTCCCTAATATAACCCACTTGAAGGGGTGAGCAAATTTGGGCACTGAGTTAACTGGAAGGGCTGCCAATTTAGCATTGATTGTTGTTATATTTAACAATAATTTGGATCATAGCAAACAGGCACCTCCTGTAGTAAAGAAAAGATTTATCAGTAACACCTCAGCAAGGGGACCAACTCTTATTTCTCAACTGATTGCTTATTAGCTTACATACTGGCTGTTTATAAATACTGATACACATATATTACTGCTTTATTTAGCATCACCATATTCTATATTCCTAAAACCTACTGCATACCTAAACTTACAACAACTACCTTACTAAGTACCAAAAAGCAGTAAAGTAGGAGTTTGAGGCATAAGACAACAGTGATTATGTGTTCCCTTTACTGGAGTGCTACAGATTTATCTTGAACATGGACTCTAGTATGTATAGTCTATATTCTGGCAACATGCAAGAAATCATTGGCTACAATCTTCACTGTGCATTATGGCTATTTGCTAGCAATTTTGTGTTAATTGACTGTGCAGTCATTGTGCATTATGGGATTGAATTAGCACTTATGGTAATATTTACTGTGGTTTTTGGACAACAATAGATGTTGTCTTGTACAGTCTCAGAAATAAAGGTACGCGAGCTGTCACTGGGGTCATACCTTTTTAAAAGGTACACATTTGTACTTAAAGGGTCCATATTAGTATCTAAAAAATGTAAGAGGAACACTTTTGTTCTTTTTAGGTATTAATATGTACCCTTGAGGTATTAATGTGGACCTTTTAGGTACAAATTTGTACCTTTTGAAAAGGTACCACCACAGTGACAGCTCTCGTACTTTTATTTCTAAGAGTGTATGTCCCCTTAATATACAGCCCTATTTAAGAAAATAGGTAGCAATATGAAATTTGTGCCAATTGTAGGATTAAAGCTAAACCCTGTAGGACAGTAGGACACCCATGATCACAATTCTGTGTTTGGCATCTTAAAGCAGTTCACTTTGTATCATGTTAACAATCTGAAATTTCATTCCATATCTCAGGATGGCTCAATGTACCTATAAAGTCTTAAGAGATAGTTCAACCAGTCATTTACCCACCCTCATGTTGTTCCAAAGCTATATTTATATCATATTTAGAGGAGAAATAACCAGCATAGGCTTGTTCTGAAAATGTAGCCCTATATACATTCCTGGAGATCGTGAATTATGTAGCCAGAGCTACATATGGCTGCATTTCGTCTTTAAAAGGAATGCTACAGAGCGGTATGGCTACATTTCATCTTTAAAACGAACGATACGGGGTGGTATGACGTTCCTTTTCTCGCTTATCAGCCGACCTCTTACCTGCATGTGGAAGGCTTTTAGCTCAACATGTATGTTGGTGGACTTGAGATGCATAGCGGAGTTGACCGAAATGACAGGGTTAGAGTCCAGTGAAGAACGGTTCCAGAAAGCTAGTAACAAAAGCCTAAAAAGTACATAAACAAGTAAATAATGGTGAGAATGTGGTGAATTCCGAAAAACATGGTAAAAATCAGGCAAGGGGCAGGGTGGGGTTATCAGTCGGTTGGTCAGTCAGTTAGCCACTGGTGGATTTATGCGAGAACAGCAGGCACAAATGGCACTTATGATGCGGTGTTCACACCAGACGCTGAACGCGCAGATAAATCGCGCTATTCGAGCGTAAATAGATGAACATTTGAGTTTATTTGCTTCATTCGCGCAAGAAAATCCGCTTCATTCGCAAGTCAAATCAATTTCATTCACGCGCCAAATTCACTTCAGAACAGACGCGGATTGGACAGGGCTTCTAATGGCCGGTGACTGACTAGCTTCATTGCTAAATAGCTAACATGGATTTTATTCAGAAAATCATGGTGTTTATATGCTTTCTGGAGGCTGAAAATCAGTGTTGATACATTTGGGGCTGTCTGAGTCCACTAGATCCTTTAAGGGGTGCACCCAGCTCTGTGAGCTCATAAACTCCTCCAAAAACTTAACCTGAATGACGAAGGCATTCAGCCGTGCTGCTGACTGAGCCGAGCTCAGTTTGATGAACTGTTGTGTGTTGTCAGTGTGTGCAGTAGAATTTTCCCCCGGGCCACAGGGGCTACGTCACAATCAAGCACCCTCAAGCTCCTGACAAGAGGAAGGTCCTGATTGGTTAACACGGCGCGAATGTCCGCTGAAGTTGATTTTCGAACTCGAACGATTCACACATTAAACGTGTAAAATGCTCAATTCGCACCGCGCAATTCGCGTCATTCGCGCTACAACATTTGCACGTATCGCGCCGCAGGATGTCCATTCGCGCCTTTGCATTGACTTAACATATAAAGCACTTGCGCTTGACGCTTCTTCTGTGTCTGGTGTGAACACAGCATAAGAGATATTTAGGATCTCAAAAAGCGTACACGACAGACTTGTTTTGTACTTTTGTTTCACGAAAACAAAAACTGCAAAAAAAAAACGTAGCTCCTGGGACATATTTTGCTCTCTCCAGAAATGTATAAAGGGGTACATAATCAGAGTGAGCCTGGGTTGGAAATAATACATTTTATAAAAGGTAAGGCAAGGGAATTCATTTTATAGCACACTACATACACAATTATGTAAAGTGCTTTATATAACCGAGAAGAAATGCATATTATACAGGGTGAATTAAAAACAACACCACAACTTTAAAAATCTGTATTTAATCAAAGAAACATGATGACAACAGCCCTCCAAGCGACCAAATGAGCAACCAAATGAAACTTCAGAGCGGTGACAGAAAGAGCTTAGCTCTCCTTTTCTTCTTTGCAGAGTTCTCGATTTTCAAAGTTGTGGTATTCTTTCTTGAATCACCCTGTATAAAGAAAGGTTTTTATCCTGAGGGTTTACTTTCCTTGTAAACTTTATTCAAAATATATTTTGTGTGTGGAACAACATGAGAGTTAATTGGCTGAAATGGGAACTTAATACAGTATATCACCAGGGTCTTCACTTTTGATTTGAATTCAAATGTCCCATTCTTAAAGCCCTACTCTGTACAGACAATTCTGCATTTTACACATAGCTCTGAGTGTATAAATAACTAGCTAAACACTCTGAAAGATCATAAATGCAGTGAATACTATCAGATCACAAATAACACATCGTTTTGTTCATATTCTAGAAAAACATGTCTGTTACTCAGGCAAAGGTTATTTATCACTAATTTCAATTAATGACACGTTTTTCATAACCACTGAACATTCATTTACACTGCTGAATCTCAACTTCTCTACTGTATATACACAATCAGCCGAATTAGAATGTAAATAGATGATTTTTTTTGGAAAGCAAACTAGCGTCAAAACCCTTTTATGTAGTACAAAATCACAAAAATTGAATGGTGTACCTCCTCAACAAACTGTTTGCACATAGCCGCTCTCAAAAGCGACTCTTTTAAAAAGTCCATAAACAAGTTTATAAAACTCTATTCAATAAATGCCTTTTAATAATGTAAGTTGTCTCATTCGTCTTTCATTAAAAGCACAAGAAATAGTGTCTAGAGATTTCTCAAATGTCTATCAGGGCCTGAGGGAGAAGATTTGTCTGGTTTCTTCATTCCCATAAGGTTTCTATTGTTCCCAAAAGGAGATGGAAGCTTCTACTGTGAATATCAATAGCCAGACTGCGGCTGAGTTGCCAAGAGACCGCCTAAAAATTCACGTGTTTTTCCAGAATGGCCAAGCGTAAAGAAAAAACACTAGGATTGCCACCTTTTTTTGTCAATGTAGGAATCAGAGAATTTGTACAACATTTGTACGCCTGTCATGTTCGTCAGCTTGCTGATCAGCGAAAGCAAAAGTTTAGACACACGTTCATTTAAAAATACGAGTTTGTCTAAGCTAAATCTTCAAAATTGTCGTCTTATATGTAATGCTAAAGATAAGCTGAATCAAAGAAAGAAATGTTTTGGTCAGACCGACAAGTGTGTTCCCGCAGGGGTTGTTGAAGAGGGGGTTGGACCTCTTCTGTCTTGTGGTTTTGGCTTGCGCTCAGAGGCTGTCACAGATTCAGAAGACAAGTGAGAGAGGTAGAGAATGGCCTCATTAGAGAATTGAGCCGGGCTTTAAGAGAGGAGCTCCACTGGCCATAATGACTGAAGGAGAACAGAACAGGCTCTGTTCCCTGTAATGAAGTTTTTGCCACAAATCAACAAACCTCCTCACGACACAGGACACATTATACTACAGTAAATCATCCAATTTACAAAAAAACAAATCTATTAAGATTGTTCATACTTGGATTTGGAAAGTGAAATAGTGATTTAGATCTGGTTAATGTAATTGCATTGCGGTTTACTTTGTTTTTGTTGTCTAATTAGGCATGACAGCTTTCACATTAGCTGTTGAAGGCAGTTTATCAGGCAATCAGTAGTATGTCATAAGCTCTTGTTATCGAGGTCACATCCAGGACTGTGTCAGTTTGGACAAGAGATAAGGTCATTGCTTGCAGTCTCGCTCTGCAAAGTCAGGATGTGCATCCGACGATGTGTGTATTTAATTTGAAGCTAAAAATTGGTTCGTACAAGACATACTGGTGATTAAACATGCAAAACAGCAAACTGGTGGAGATGCACCAAAAAATGTTATTCTGTGCAGAAACTGAACACTCTGGATGCACTTGGCCAGAAACACAAATCAAGACTTTTTAAATTTAGGTAAATAACTTACAATAATAAATTACATTGATTCAGATGAATGCATTGTGGTGGATAAGGAGATTCCCCCATAAAACGTGTAAAGTGCTTTGAGTGTCCAGAAAAGCGCTATATAAATGTAGGGAATTATTATTAATATTTAAAATAACAAAATAATAAGGGCAAAGCAGTGGCGCCGTAAGTACTGCTGTGGCCACACAGCAAAAAGGCCACTGGTTTGAGCCTCGGCTCAGTTGGCGTTTCTGTGTGGAGTTTGCATGTTCTCCCTGCGTTCGCGTGGGTTTCCTCCGGGTGCTTCGGTTTCCCCCACAGTTCAAAGACATGCGGTACAGGTGAATTGGTTAGGCTAAATTGTCCGTAGTGTATGAGTGTGTGTGTGAATGTGTGTGTGGATGTTTCCCAGAGATGGGTTGTGGCTGGAAGGGCATCCACTGCGGAAAAAAAAAACTTGCTGAATAAATTGCCGGTTCATTCCGCTGTGGCGACCCCGGATTAATAAAGGGACTAAGCCGACAAGAAAATAAATGAATGAATGAACCTAATAAAAAAAACTAACCTCATTTGAAAAAAGTGTCAAATAAATGTGAAAAATGTAAAAATTGACAGCAACACAAAATAGGATAGAAAATATACAGTGGTGGCCAAAATTTAAGAAGTTTCAGCTGTTTTTTGGCTTCACATTCTTGATAAAATGAAACTTTCATCATTGTGCTCTATAAACCACAGAAAAGCATCATTATAGTGAGATTTATGTCATTATCCTTACTAAAAACAAGTCTGACTATTTTGCAGTCAACGTCACACAGTCATGTTCCTTCACAAAAGAACCCAAATTACTTGTGTATTCATTACCAGGCATGGAGAATGTGGTGAAGTTTTTAAAGTTCTCAAAAAATATACTGGCATTATGCCAGAGAGATCTGCTGTTGTTACGGCTGCGAAAATGCATATATTAAATATTACAATTTATATAAGTACAAAAGTGTGGAAAAAACGGTACAACTAATTTCTGTAGATTTACTCAGAGCAGCATGTTTTGTCAACATTATGAAATCAAATCATAATGAGGCAAAAAGGCCATATTTTCAGATTTGTCAGGTGTTCTAATAATTTTGGCCACCATTGTATTAATATTAAATGTCAATATATAATCTTTAGTTAGGTCCATGCAACAATCACATAGAATTGTTGTTTGCTTGTTTTGTACTAATTAGCTGTTTTTTGGCATTAAGTAATATTATGTTTTTCTCAGGAGATCAGGCTTGCAGATCTCTAAATGTGTTAGAGTTTTACTGTACACCTTAGCAGTTTGCTGACAGAGTATAACCAGGTTGCCAAACTATTTGACATCTTATTGGTTATTTTTTGAGCCTGTTGTTGTTGCATTTTATCCACAGAGGATCAGGGATGACAGCTTTTATCAATGTTTCCAATACCTCAAAACAACAAGATTTTTCGATGCATGCATTGATGCCACAAGCACGCAAATGTGCAGAGAGGACCCCCAACTAAAATAACATTCACTGTAAAAAAAAATCAGTTGATGAACAGTTTCCGTATTTTATGATTCACTATTTTTTCTGTTTATTTGTGGTTGTGAATAGCATCATGGGATGTTTATCGCTGCTCTGTTGAATTTTGATGATGAAACTTCCAACTCTAAGGTTTAAAAAAGTGACTTTTATTAACATTATAGTCGTTTGAAATAACGTGTAAAAAAATATATAAAGAGAAATAAGTCTGTAAAATAACAGAAAATGTATACTGGCAGTTTATTACAGGGTTTTTGTAGTGTAATATACGCCAACCCTGACAATAGATCACTTTAAACTCATAAAAACCTTCGTAAAAGTCACCTTTTCAAACTTTCCAAAGTTAAAAGTTGTTGGAAGAAAGGTCAAGATTTATTTACTTACTTTACACTATATAGCTTGGGAAAAAAAGTCTGTTCTGAAATGTTCGTTGAATAATTGAATTATTGCTAAATAAAGTTGGCCAAGTTGCAGTTTAGCCTGTCTGTTAACAAAATTAATGAAGTCATTTATCATATAAACCAAAAAATAAAAGAAACGTGCGAGTGTTCAACTGCAATAGTTTGTGTTGTTCTAACAAATAATGATCCTATTTTGATGAATTTATCAGTTCATAACTCCATAGAAATAGAGTCATAATATATCCTTATATTGCTATATATATTTAATAATAACAATAATAATAATAATAATACTATTTACTGACTTTATGCTTTGAAACTTTCATTAAAAATGTAAAATTTGAAACGAGCTTGTTTTAATATTCATATCACCCAAATTGTCACATCTATAGACTGAAATTGGCTGAATTTAAACAAACAAATTAAATTTAGAAATAGTCAACTTAATTAGTTTCAATTCTGCTTATATAAATTGTTTGCAACAAATTTGAAACGAACCAACTGTTTTCAGTGTAAAATGTGTGTAAACAATAAACAATACAATGACACAAAGATTATGTAACTGCATTGTCTGACTATGATGCCACGAGTCAGTCCACTTCCCATTTTGCACTGAAAGGAGAGTATGAAGGACAGATCCCATGCCTCTTACTCGAACCTCAGCCACTGGCACTTCCTCCTTTCTAAAGGATGCACTCAATCAATATTTGTGTGCACCTTTTAAGAGCCATCTCGACTTGGGTGAGATGACAAGATGGAGAGGTGAATCCAGGGCTTCCCATTTCAAGTCACCCTCAGCAGACGTGAGAAAGCAGTGAGTGTCCAGCATGTGGGGACTCTCTTATTCTCAGACTAAACTCAATGAGGAAGGACTAATATGACCTGAATGTCCCGCACTTCTGAACAGAACGCTGTCTCTCCGTGCCTTGTTAAGGGACAATGTTTGTTTTGTTTCGCAGAGCTCTGAGAAGGGGGTGGAAGGGGACGGGGGGTCCGTGAGAGATTCAACACAGTTGCTCTGGCAACTAGTTTTGGCCCCTTGAGTACACTAACATACAAATCAGGGTCTGGACTGAGGTCCTGGGCACCGAAAAAACAACGCAACCGGAGCCATGGACCACCGAGAATAGAGGACAGGAAACGCTAGTGAGTTTCATTCTGATTCACAAGTTCACGATGCCAGTTTAGAGTAGAAAAAAGTTTTCCATTGCATCGCCTTGTCATACTTGTGCATTCAGGGCACAGGGGAATCCTAAAAAAAACAAGAGTAGGTGCTGTAATGGCTCTCGGAGAGGCCAAATTTCCCTGCTTTTTGTGGATTCGGGACATCTCAACCCTTTTTTGCCTCACTTGTTCTGTGCCAAACCTCAGAAAGAAGAGAATAGTGGTGTGTGGGAAACAGAACACAAAGGTGAAACAATAGAGAATTTGGTGGTCAAAGTTAGTTTGGTGTTCGTTTGTTTGTTAGTAAAGAAAATGGCAAAATTCTTATAAAATAAGTGGAGGTATATTGTAAAAATATCAACACAAAACAAACTGGGAAAAGCGGCACAACCTAACATAGTTTCTCAAAAGTGCCAACAGCGCCCTTTGGCGGTTGAAGCTACATGTTACAGTTAATATATATGAGGCTCACAAGATGCTCACTTTTCCTTAGTTTTAAGATCCACCAAGTGTCACCACAGCGGAATGAACCATCAAATAATCTGGCACATGTTTTATTTAGGAGATCTCAACCCTTTTTGCCTCACCTGTTTCGTGCCAAGCCTCAACAGAATCGTTATGTGTGAATAAACCTCCACCATTACCTTTGTGGGAAACAGAACAAAAAGGTGAAACAAGATAATTTGGTCTTCAAAGTTAATTCAGGTGCTTCAATATTTGTTTTTTTATCTATTTTATCAAGTTATTTTATAATCAAATGACCAAATAATACTGAAGTGAAAAAACATGCAAAGTACTTCATTTGTTCGTTAGAAAAGAAAATGACCAAATCTTAAAATATAGGTGAAGGTATATTGTAAAAATATCAACACAAAACAATCTGGGGGAAAGCGGCACAATTTCTCAACAGCGCCCTTTGGCGGTTGAAGCTACATGTTACAGTTAATATGAGGCTCACAAGATACTTTTTCTTGGTTCCCCGATCCATCAAGTGTCGCCACAGCAGAACGAACAATCAAATAACCTGGTTATAACCTAATATATTTTATATTGCGTATATGCCCTTCTTTCCACAACCGTACATTTTTTAAGTATAAAAGTTAGACAGTCTAATCATTAACATCAATTCTTCAATCTATTTTGTTATAAGCTGCTAAGAAAACGTTGTTTTTGTGTTCAATATTTGCTTTTATTTTAGTATTTCTAAAACAAGTTGAGATTGTTCTCTTTCGACACCTTTAAATCATAATTAATAGACTAAACAAACGGTTAAATAGGTGATGTTCTTCTGTTTTCCTTTTGATGCTGTAGTAAATTCTGACGTTTTATAAACTCCTGGTGTTAGAACATTTTAGCAAGACAGTACAGCACACATACCTTTCAGTGCTCCAGGTTTCATTAGCGAGGGTAAGTGACATCATTTCCTGTTTAAAAAAAGGATATGGGAACATATTTAATTAACCTGATGTTGCAGAATCTAGACTTTATAGATACATTTTAAATAAAATAAGATATTCTAATATAGAAATAAAATGATAAAATTCTGATTATACAATGCATGATGGGGACACACAGATTAATTCAGATATATTGAAATATATACAAAATATAGTAAAAAACTAAAAGATGTCAAAGAAAATATTTAGGTAATAGTGGTGTGCCCAAACTTTTTTTGTTTAATGGGCCAAAAGCCAAATATCATTGAGAGTCGAGGACCAAATGGTACAATACCAAGCTATATTACAAGTTGTTATGAGTAATTTCCTAATTTCTTAAGATGTAAAAGTAAATAAAAACATAACTTTAAATCATATTAACTCATGAAGTATTAAATGCAGTAACATTTAAAATGATAACATTGCAATAAAACAAACTCACATTTATAAAACACTAGTCAAGCTGTGTCTTTGCCTAGATTTGTTCTTTATCCGTCAGATGACAGTATGAACATTTAAACTAAATCTGAATAATTTACACCATTTTACTGAAACTTTAAATTTAAGTTAGTGTTTAGCAATAAAGCAAACAAACAAAAGATTACATTAGATTTGAAATAACAATCTCTCAACCACGTTTCTGGAGAATCACCAGCACTGCATGTTTCGGTTGTCTCCTTTGTCACTTCCATAATAGGCATTATCTTTGATAATGAGCTGATGATCTGAATCAGGTATGTTTGGTTAAACAAAACATGCAAAATGTGCAAAGCTGGTGGTCTTCCAGAAACGTGGTTGAGAAACACTGCTCTAGGCCAACGGTCTCAAACTTAACTCGTGAAGGGCTGCAGCTCTGCATAGTTTAGCTTCAACCAGCAAACTCACACCTGCTTATAAGTCTCTAGTAGTCATGAACACCTTGATTAGTTGGATTAGCTGTGTTTGATTAGGGTTGAAGCAAAACTGTGCCGAGCAGCGGCCCTCCAGAAATCGAGTTTGAGACCTATGCTTTAAACCAGGGGTGCCTAATCAAACACCCCTAAACAAGCTAATCAAGCCCTAAATAGCATGATAGAAACTTGCAGGCAGGTGTGTTGAAGCAAGTTGGAGCTAAACTCTGCAGGATACCGGCCCTCCTTGCTCTCATTCTTCTTCTCTTCTTAGATGGGATGGCAGGCCAAATCAAAGGTTTCTTTGAGTCAACGAACCCTACTTTGGGCATCCCTGATATATACTCATGTAAAATTTATTTCACAATGAATGATGGAGAAAGATGCACTGATTAATTCAGACCAAAACATGATTTTCAGCTACAATATGATACTTGTACAAAAAAATATTATAATACGTATATGGTTTTATAGCATAAAAAAGTATGACAAAAAAAGTATGTTAACGGATATGGAAGGTACAAGGTCAAGAAGAACAACAGCTAATGAAAGTCAGTGTACTTACTATATCACACACAAAAACACAGCAAAACAAATCCAGTTTTTCAATCAGATTTACTTTTACAACTGTTTACAGACTTCAAGGACAAGATTCAGACGTGACATCACATTTATTCCACAAAGAAAAACAAAACAACAAAACAAAACCCAAACATATGACTATCTTTAGTGGGGAGAAACAGAAACTGTTTGCTTCTGCCGTGACAAAACTATAATAGCACAGAGATATTACAGTCAAAAAGCACTGAGGTTTCTATAATTATCATATCAAAACATTCACATTAGAACTGAACACTTCTGGTCGGCAACAGCAATACAGATGTCACAGTGTCAAAGCAGATCCAGCAATACAAACACAAACTCAGGCCAAACGGATTTAGTGCAGTTCAGTGAGGGGTTGCCAGATCACCGTTATTAACAACCATACATGAACTCAAGGGCCCATATATTTATATACATAATCTAGTTTTACATGGGGAGCTGTCATTAAAGCATCTGTGTTGGTGACACTGTTAAAATTGTGGTGAATTTATTATAAGAGAACAGATTTCCCCATCCTTAATATTGTGACTAATGTTTGTTAGTATTTAATGACAGTGAAATATACAATTTTGAAAAGATGCAGATTTTTTTCCCCAATATCTCATAAAATTGCTGCTTTAGGTTACTAAAACACATATATTTATACTTAAGATATTTATTTTATATTTTCAGGCAATCTGGTTGAAAACCAACAGTTAAAATTTGAGAAACTGATGTTTGGTCTGTAGGAGGCATTTGGTATAAAGCAGTTGTGGCCAAATACACAGAATACAAATAATCCTAACAATCCTAATAGTTCATAATCCTAATTATTGGTTACCAGACTAATTAGATTAGAAAGCAGATGTTAATTACTCTCATTTTAAAACTATCAAGAACATTGTCAAAGGGGGATGCAGTGGGATAACTTCAAATTCAAATCGGTTAACGCTTTGCTTATTTTAGGAATGTCAGTCAATGTAAAATGCCATGTTATGATTAGATGACACCTCTTGATGTTTCGTTTAGCCTAAATCAGTGTTTCTCAACCATGTTCCTGGAGGACCTCCTTTGTCACACCCATTACTGGTCTCTGCTAATGATTTCAATCAGGCGTATTTGGTAAAGGAGACAAGGAAAATGTGCAGAGCTGGTGGTCTTCCATGAACGTATTTGAGAAACACTGATCTAAATGACTTATTAAGATTCATTAAACAAAAATGAAAAAAAAACATGCATGTAAAAGCTATGCTGAGAGATCTTGAGGGATAGAGATGAGAATGGGGTGTCTATTTACACAGATTTGCTTGATCCATAAAAGTTAGTTTCACAGACATACTGATGATAGTTGTTGAACAAGGATGATTTTCTTTTCCATTGTCATTTCCTGGCTTTGGCAGAGTCTAGGTTGGCGTTTTTATCAGTATTTAAGGCCTGACCGTAAAGATCAGCTGTCTGTGTGTGTCTGCCAAGCAAGACGATGAAGAAGATACTGTAAGCTAAGGTTTAGAAGCATTAATGCTGTAGCCTGTTTAAAAACATTCAAGAACCGCAGTTCTTTCCCTGATAGAATTTACAAATGTGTCCAGAGTTAAAAACACGAGTGTTTAAGATCAGTTGTTCATTTTCGGTGGATTTTAAAAGCTACTTTAAAATGTCAGCTCTGCTGGTATTGAATATTTATATCGATTTTCAGAGCAACACTAAAACATTGAACTGGCAAAGAACGAAACACCAATATATAAAATATAACTGTATAAATTTGTCTGTTTACAAAACGTGGCGTGTAAACCACTCTACTGAGCATCAGTGAAAATGTACAATGAGAAAATGTCTGCGAAAACTGTACAAAAGTGTTTTATGGTGGTTGCAGGTTCATGGATGGTGTGGGTGCCGACCAAACTGCAAAAATACTTACAAAATCTAGCTGCAATTTATGTAGAATGAAGCTCAGCTTTATCATGATGGTTAAAAACTGATCTGTCTATCCCACTTGGTAGGGTTCACTTGACAGTAAATAAAACCTCAACCACAACAGTGGTGAAGCAAATCACAAAGACTGCCAATAAAGAAAGGGGCTTTTCCAAGAAGACTAGAAAATAAAAAGACGTTCGTGTCTGTCAAATGAAAAAAAAAAAACTAATTCTTTTTAAAGCAAATGAATTTCAGTAAATGATAAAAACAAATTCTGAGCTAACATTCACATCCTTTGAACATGAAAGAGCAGGGGGTTAAAATAAAACCAGATTTTCCCTCAAACATGAGAAAAAACGCATCCACACACAAATGGAGAAAGTCGTCCTATTCAACTGTGCCATGTTTTGTATTTTCTTCCTCAGTCTTTTGATATGTCCATTTTTAACTCCTCTGAAAATAAAACAGAAACATATCAAATTCAATATTTTACATCATCTCCAATCATTTAGAAATTAAAGATTTAGCAGAGTTATATTTACCATACTTGACTGATTCCCACTAGAGGCATAAACTGAAGTGACCTCTGCGATTTGCCGTTGTAACTTGTGCGAAGTGGAGAGGGATTCATCTTCACCATCTAGATCTCGTTCCGACTCTCTCTCCCTCTTCCCTGTCACACTTCCTCCTTTATGCAGCAAGTGTCCTGCTGAACATCATAAAGAATGAATCCAAAAACAATATATTAAAGCAACAATTTGTGTGTCATTTCCTTTTTTATATAGTCAATTTGTTCACATGTAGTGGAATACACACTATGTGCGCAGACACCAGTGTCACTTATAATAATGATATCTGAATTCTATTTGTGACCCTGTCTCTTATTCTGCTATAATCCAACAGCCAAAAATACACTGTATGGGTCAAAATGATCTATTTGGATATTTAGTAAATTTCCTACTGTAAATGTCAAAACCTTTTAATCAGTAATACCAACTTACATGTGCACAACTTTAAAGAGGATCTTCTCAGTATTTTAATTAACTCGAACTCTTAGATTCCAGATTTTCGCATTAATCACACGTTTGTTTTTTTCTAACAAAACGTATAGATTCATTTCAGATGATGAACATGTATCATTGACTCAGAATATGAGTCATGTTTACTGTACCACACTCATTTTATACAGTGCGCATTTCTATGTCCATTACCTGCCATGTCATGCGAGACATTGCTTTTGTAAAATCTACTGTTGTGGCCCGAGTCAGGCATGTGATGGTATCCTGGGAAACAAGCAAGAGAAAAGTACAGCATAAAAACACAGATCATTTGTTTGGCTGATGTTGCTTAACTATAAATGCACTGAGTTATATTGTGTTAGTGTTCAAGGTGACACCTAATTGCTGCTGCTGCTGCTGCTGTTGTTGTTGTTGATGCTGCTGCTGAATTCCACTTGGTCCCTGGTGCTCTTCACTATCAAAGTTCAGCAAAATACTCCCACTCCTGTTACCACTGGCAACAGAGCCGCTTGATACAGCTGGTGCTAAATGTGCATGAGTATAAGGGAAAAAGAAAATAAAATAAATGAAAAACACAAGATATTATGTTTATGAACAAAAATTAGCACAACTGAAATATTTGTTAATCTTCAGCCATAATATCAGCACATTATTTATATACAGTAGCACATTTTTTTAGAAACCTATTATAGTATACTACAATAAGCAATATACCTCTCTTTGTTCCATTACTCAATATAAACTCTTCAATTAAAAATAAATAAAAGTTGATTTTTATTTAGCAGTATTTCACAAAATTTAGCCTTTCCATTAAAATAAATGGGAAGGGGGAAGAAAAAATAAGTTTCACCTGGTGTATTGGTCCCAGACTGCTGTTCCCCTGGAGAGTAGGCCATCCCATTTCCATTCCCGTTGTGTGTGGATGGTACGGAGGCCAGAAGTCCTGGAAAACAAAGGAACTAAATTTAGGCTTCTATTACAATTAACCAGACTGGCACTTGCTAGCACTACATCAAGACATAATTTTCCCTCAAGTCTCAGGTCCCGTTTACACTAATACGTTTTGTTTTTTGTTTTTTTAGGTTTTGCTACGGTTACGCCTTCTGTCCGAACTTTTGAGCCACGAAAACAGATTGTTTTGGAAATGCTAGCGGCCATTTTCGTTTTAAAACACTGCTGCTCCGTGTCAGTGTGGATGGGGGGAAAAGGAGACATCTGAAAACAGAGGCATTTGATTTGAGCTTTTTCTCAATATCAAGTACACAAAGTTAAATCTTGCATCCTTTCCATGTAAGTTAAGACTTCGCAAGTTTGATATAAAAAACAAACTCCTGAGGACATGTCAGGTAAATCTTCAAAGGGGACAGTGTACTTTATAACGCCATTCACATCACCCTGGCAACTCAACAATAAAATAAAAACATGTAAGAAAATGCCTATTTTCATTTTGATATTAACTTTTGATATTATTTGATATTAACAGACACCAAAAACGTTAAGGCATCATGTAGCAACATATTTGTATGACCGTCATCTTCACTGTATGCGTTTTTATAACAAAACATAACCTATAAGATTACTGTCTTCTTTCATTTTCATTGAAAAATATAAAACATACCCTGTCTTTTGCTGAATATCAGTTTTAATAATCAATAATGGCAATCAAGAATACAATAAGTTTATACAAGATAGAAAATAAAGGCAAGCAATCACTCAATGTGCAGGTTCAGTTTACGCGGATACATAAATTAATATATTAACTTATCTTTGCGCTCAAACACGTTACCTGAGAACAAGTAATAAATTTTAAAAAAAAACGTCATTGGAAAGAGACAAGAAGAATTAAATATCATGTTTAACAACTATAGTGAGATGAGGGTCAAGCGGCCTGTCCTAGATGAACTGTCCGACGTGCACTGTTCTTACCCGAGGAGGTGCCCGCAGAGCACCTGCTGATTGCCTAGAGATCAAGCGTGTGCATACACTGCAGCGCATGCCAGAGTGTGTGTGCGTGTGTGTGTGTGTGTGTGTGTGTGTGTGTGGTAACGTGATGTGCGTTTTCAGCAGTATAGTGTGGACGGAGATCTTTTCAGAAATGCTACACTGTAAAAAATGCAGGGTTCCACACAATTCATTCATGCTGTCCCAACACAAATTGATTAAGTTAACTTAATTTTATATGTTTAATCCACATAAATGTGTTAAGTTGTCCCAATGAAATCTCAAGAATTGTGTTGTTTCAACTCATTTTAAATAAGTAGTTTGAACAACCAAAAATTTAAAAAAATATGTATTTTTAAATGTAGGTGAAACGCCAGTGTAAACATGGATCATTTTAATTTTAAAACTAAAATGTATTAGTGTAAACAGGGCCTCAGTTGTACAAGGCTTCTTTACTACTTGACTGCATGTAAGCTTGCTAAAACAAAACAAAAACTCTTGCCAAGTCCTCTGTAGCGGGACAGTTGTTGGTAGATCTGCTTCATCCTCTCAATGTTGAGGCGGCTGGCTTCAGCGTGGTTTACCATGGGTTTGGGGTAGTGGACGCCAATGATACACTTGGCAGCAGCTTGCACTGAGTCTGGAGCGTTCCATGGGTCATATATATATTTGGCAGGGAAACCTCGGAGAATAGGTAAATAGCGTCTGAAAGAACAAAGAGAGATTAAACCCAGGTCTCATCGTAAGCATGAAGGAAGGTTTTGCGAGATGTTCAAACATGGGGAAACCCAGTAAGTCAGCAGGTATTGAAAACTAGAAAGACACAATTTCTCCAATTACAACAAGTCAGCTTGTCTGATTCATTTACAAGTATCTCAAAATGGTCTGATGTGCATTTATAGATATGTGCCAGTTGATACTAGAAATGAGACTGTCAGCATAACACCATACACAAAGGAAACAGAAAGAGCTGAAAGGTTCAGAAGGCTATACTGAAATCAAGACTTGCGTTTCTCCTCCAGGTCCCAGGGACAGAAAAGGCCACCTACCTAAGGCGCTTCACCTTACCAGAGCATGGGGCTGCAGGAGGCATGGCTTGACAGACGGGTGCAGTTTAAACTGGGCAACAGGTCCCGCCTGTGCTGAGACACTACGAAGATACCTACTACAACACGTGTTAAAAAGCAGAGGCAGTGACCAGGCCCTCCCAATCCCCCCCAGATCCAATAACACAGCACCCTCCCACAACCCCATCCCACCCCGCTTCAAGAGATCGAACCTCAGGGCTGAGTGAGAGGTTCAGGTTCGCTCCCTGCCCCTCGCACTGCCACTGATCGCTTTTAAGACGACAGTGATCCCAAGCCAATGCAGAGAAACCTGCTAGCCGCCAAAGGAGAAACGCAGTATACTGTTCTCTGCTGCTAGGTGGCCCCCTCGTTTTGCCAAAAAAGACCAGAACCCTTTTGCCAGGAACACTTACATCCTGCCTGAACAAGCAAACGGCCAGAAGCTGATTTGGGATATTGCAGGACGACCTCCGAGGCGGCTTCGTTGAGAAGGGGGCAAGCTGAAGGCCAGGACTCTTGTTCTCTTGCACAGGCAGGGCTGCATTCAATGCGTAGAGGACCGCTAAACATTTCAAAAAGAGTCTGATAAGGAGGAGTTGTCCAGAGCTAGACTGAAGTGTCTTCCTCTAGCTTTGGGCCCCACCTCCCATCATGCTCTCTGGGAAATGCATTGTGACTCTCTATGCGTTGAAAACAGGTCAGGCTTCGTTTGGATCTCCCTACCAAGCGGTTGAAATCCCTTTTGATGAAACAAGATGCTACCGAGCTAAAGAACAGGCTACTGCATTTCCCACTGATAAAGCATTGAGCTTCAACCACATTCACAGCTAACAGGTTTCCAAATGCTTTGGCTAAGAATGGCTTTCGTCTTAAAAGCAATCAACCACAATTCACCAAGGGGAAAGGGAAAGCTGAACTTTTCACCCAATCCGTGAGACGACTGCACAGAAACACAAACACATACAAGCTTGCAGCAAACTTATGTAGAAGCCATGCTAAATGTGACACTAGCAATGTTTACATCTGTTCCTTAGTGTAGCCTGTAATAAGAGCAGTGTGTTGGGACAGAAATAAAATCCTGAAATACCAAATTCTGGAACTGGAAACACTACAAAATGTTAAAACAGACTAAATGAGAGAAGCTTGCTTTCTTGACTAATTATTGACAATGCTAAACCTCATCTAATATATATTTTTAAAAAACTGATGTATATGCAATTTCGAAATGCCGAAAAATGACTGAAAAATCAAATGAATTACCTTTCAAACATGTCCTATATTCCTCTAACTAACAGAAGTACTTCTGTTAAAAAAACTTCATTACTTTATTTACATAATCTGTCCATCCTTGTGGCATGAGCGTGCATGTTTGTTTGGGAACGTTACCAACCTAATGAAATCGCCGTTAGGGTCGGTGCGCCTGCCGAAACCCACTGGACAGTAGCAATGAAAGAACTGCTGAAAGAAAGAGCTACAGGAGAGCCACATCCAGCTGCCTGCGTTCACGCTCCAGTCTGCATCCAATAGAAGCTCCTCAAACACCTGTCAATCATAACTACCGTTATACTCCGGCCAGTCAGAGATGGTTGTTAAGCAGCTCATTCAGACTTATTAAAATTAGACCTTATTGTATTACCTTTTTAGTAAGTTTGAGGTCATCTAGCAAATAACTTTTTATAGCTAAGAACTCTTTATTCAAATGATCTTAAAAGAGATAAAACTGAAAGCAAATTATGCTTAAACTACCAAGGCTGCAAAAATGCATTCATTCAGCACTAGTCTGAATTAAACTCTCAAGGTATTCACATTCAAGTAAATCCACCCTGCATAATTGATATTCTTTATATCTAGGGCTATCAAACTTTAAATTCTGCCTTCAATAATCTATACAAAACCTTAATAAACTTCCTCTTCGTGTATTCAATGCACATCATACTGCATCATCAGCATGAGCCTGTTTGACACTGCACTTATCAACTGACTCATGCATATTAACCCACTGAAAGTGTAGCTCAATTAAGCCTGTTGTATCAAAATGGTGTTGCTGAAACCTCGATTGGCAATCTTGATTGGCAAAAGGCAGCACATACAGTATAAACAGATCCACTCTGGTTTTTTACAATTAATAAAATAGGCTTTTGGTCATCAGATCGCCAGTATTTCTATTTTGTCAATTAGTTTGATGACTTCTCTATACCAGTTTTAATGTTTCACATGTAGGGGAGTCTACAATAATATCTAATAGTTTTCAAATCCTAAAAAAAAGGATATTCACTCTAAAATATAAGGAAGTCATGTTTTCTTATGTATAGAATGGCAATTTATTCTGTGAAAACTGTATTATTATTTTGAAGATTGCTCCTAATGGCTTTTGATTATTTTCATTTTTATATTTGATTTGTGTCTTTTTTATATCATTTTATTCACCCAATTAATGGGTAATAGATATAAATTAAAAACAAAATCTCCCATGTTTAAGAGATGCACCTTCATGCCCTCTTCCCAACTGATCCACAGGTCTCCACGAGTGAGGAAACATGCAACAGCATGACGGGCCAGGTGGTGGATCCATCCCTCCTGCCTCAGTTGGGTCATTATGGCATCGATCCAGGGAAAACCTGTCTTAGCTTCAGCCCATTTAGCCAAAGCCTCTGGGTTCTTGTCCCAGGGGATGCGCACACAGATTGGGTTTCCTTCCATCTTATCAAATCGTGGATTGGTGGTTGCAGCGGTGTAGAAAAATTCCCTCCACAACAGCTGACCGTAGAGGGAGAGCGGAGGAGTGCTGGTTTTCTTTACCTATGAAAAAAATTGCAACCTAGATATTGTAATCACTTCCGCCAATAAGACATAATAACATTCATCATTTATTTGTAGAATTTCTACACTAACTTAAATAATCAACAAATCAATATACAATGAAGATCAAAATGGCAAAAAAAAAACTAAAATTGTTCAGAATATTTTAGCCAATACTTATTCCCATTTGAAGTTATACTAAGAGAAAAGGAGCATTAATCATTTTACCATTATTATAAAGCACATTATAAAATGTAAAGCTGCACAAAACTGGAAACATCTGACTGTGATATTTAGTTTTTCTGTGATATATAATGTTATATGACTATATTATAATTCTTCAAATGAACTAAATAGCTCTGTTTGAAAAAAACCTTTGTTTAGATCGATTGTGATGATTCTGCAGGAGAGTGAATAAAATATATAAACAAATTACAAGCATTGATAAATACAAGAGAGCAACGTTAATTTAAGTGTCAAACTAAATACAATATGACATCATTTTTATTATCATTTTTAAGTTTTCATAAAATTTCTTGTGCCTGAATAATTTAAACTCTCTTGAATTTATCACACAATTATAGGCCTTAAAAACACATCAAATTAACAACTTTCTTCTTATGGCTAAACTCATGCTGTGACTCCACAAATCTCAAGTATTCTGATCGGTCATGCATGCTGCAAGACTATACTATCAATGCTGAAAAATGTGTTGTGAAGCCTTATAAACAACTGAGATTTTTGAAAAAAGGAGATTTTTGAAAAAAAAAAAAAATGAAAGAACACCATGAGGTACATCACAGTTATTGGTGTAAATCTGGCATCCAATCATTTCCTTAATTATCTGACAAACCCCATTAAACTGGGATCTTCTAGTTTTCACTGAATTTGCAAGATATGGAGTCATTTTAAAGTGAATGAAACGCTCTGGAAGCAGGTTGTCAGGATTGCAGAAGTTGTTGATCTTTCAAGGTCTGTGATTTTTAGATAATTTGCTGTTTTAAAATATCAGTAACTCATTTAATTTCCCAAAAAAGTCTGCTCTAGTTAAAGATTAGAGGACAGAATTGTAGAGAGAATCTTAATGACCAATCATTTAAATACTCCAGCTGCAACTATTTGCCAGTTCAGAGCTAAACAGAGTAAGGATATCTGCATTCAGCCAGCGATTTTCATCCAGGACAATGACCACACACAATCACACATTCAAACTAGCAAAGCAGTTTAAGCTAAAAAGATTTATATAATGAAATGGCCAGACCTAAAATTGACTGAAAATCAAGACTGTAGTGGGGAAGCAGCCCACTACAGTCAGCATAAACAATTCAAACTATACATTTTTTCTTCAATGTTATTATTAATATTAAAATGATTGAAAAGTTTACTACACTGATAGAAAGTAGAGCAGTGATGTCCAAACCTGCTTCTAGAGGGCCACAGTACTGTACAGTTTAGCTCTGACCCTAAACACGCCTGAACCAGATAATCAAGTTCTTTGGACTTATGAATGTCTAGTCCATTTATTTGGACTAATAAATGTCTAGACAAGTGTTCTGGTTAGAGCTAGACTAAACAGAGCTAAACTCTGTAGGACAATGGATCGGGCACACTTGTTATAGAGTCATGTCTGTACCTTTCTATAGAGGTCTGTGAGTTTGAAATAGAAGAGGCGGCAAGAGAGGCAGCCAAAACGGAGGTAGGGACTCAAACCAGTCGGACTGGCCAGCAGAGAGTTGGCATTCATTCTGGGTCTTTCAAAATTTGCAACCCAAGCCTAAAAAAACAAAGTAAAGAGGGCATAAGTAAAATAGGCCATTGATAACGTAAGGATTTTTTATAGAAACAAAATATGCAATACATGTTAGACTGACAATATATATTTAAAGGGACTGTGCAGGTAAATATGCCAATTCTCAATTCTCTCCCTCATGTCATAAATGGTGGTACTTAAAGGAGAAAAAAAGATATTTTGAGTACAGTTGTGGTACCTATTGGCTTTGATTGTTTATGTATACAAATATTAAGATAACAAAATTCAGTTTCAGTGTCCTTGTGTGTGTGTGTGTGTGTGTGTGTGTGTATGTATATATGTATATATGTATATATATATATATATATATATATATATATATATATATATATATTAGATCGCACCTTTCGCTCCAGATGTCTTTCAATTCTTGTTAATGCCTCGGTTTCACCTCCAGGCCAGACAGCAGAAGGAAGTCCCTCAATATCAAATCCTAAACAAACATAATATAGGTTAAAGAACCAATACAAATCGTACATAACTGGATGGCTTCTCTTGTTGCCAATTATGAAACACTTGAATTTGTGTCACGGGTCACAGGAAATGGATACAGTGAGTGTTTTAACATTTAAATTCTTAAGTTCTTTTAATTTCAAAACAGGTTATGAACTGCAGTTTTTTTTCTTATGATTTTTAAAAATGATTTTAAGCAATTTTGTTTGTGCTTCTCTTCGACACCTTACTGTGATGCCATGTCGCATTCAAGATTTATTTTGCATAATAAAATAATTGAAAAATGAACACAACTAAAATGTACTCTAAAAATAATGTGGATTGTATCAGTATATATCAAACTGTTAACATTAAGAAAATACTTTCTTGCTCGTCAAATGATCAAGGAAAATTAGATTTCTCAAGTTATGACCTCTTTATATCCTTCACTTTGGTTAAAATGAATGTAAAAATGGTTTAAGCAAACTGAAATTCACCTTAGATATATTAATGTAATCAAAAACTTTAACTCACCTAGTTCTTCCAGAGACGGCACACCATATTTGTCCCCATGGTCTTCAGAGACTGGCGTGACACAGCAGCCCATAATGCTGTTGGAGAGGGTTTCCACTGGCATCTCAGGCGGGTCCATACGGCTGATAAGTGTCTGGAAACGTTTGTAGGTGAGGGGAGGCTGGCCACCGTTCAGTTCAATGATCCTGAAAAAAATGTTAAGGGTAAAAAAATTGCCTCTTTCTTTCTAATAGACATCTTTATTTACAAATATACAATTCACTGTAAGAAGATGGCAAATGTTTGTTTTAAGAGCTTATAGAATTAAAGTTCAACCCAAAATAATTTACTTGTCCTCCAACAACTTTCTTATGGGTTTAAAACAACATGAGTGCATTTAATTCTTTTTTTAATTATAATAATGATTGATTTTCTGAGTTTTCTAAAAATGTTTTTTCAGACTAATTTAAATAAAGCATCTCAAATTTAATTCATTTCATTTATGTTCTTAATTACTAAACAAACAACAAACTACAAAAAATCTCATCTGTAAAAACTTTCACTCGAACATGCAAAAAAAAAAAAAAAAAAAAATCAATTTATCAATTTGTAACTTGACTAATGATATTTACACCACAAATATACGCAAATTATTTAAATTAGTTTGTTTAATAATGTCTCATATCATATTTAAACAAATGCTTTTACCATATTGTCCTGGAGAATGTTGCCAGGACTAATTGTGAAATGACCAAAAGATGCATAATATTAAATGTAAACATTACTGAACATAAAGTGTCATTTTTACAATAGCATAAAAAAATAAATACAAATATATAAATTAATTAAAAATAAAATAAACATTTGAATGGCAGCATTAAGAAGGTATAAGACTAAACTGACGCACAAATATGCCAGCATTAAAGAAACGAGCTCTTACTTATCAAGGTTGTAAAGGGTGTGTGAGGTTTTGACAATGACTTCAACTCCAGCCTCCATCGCAAGCTTTTTAATAGCCGCATCCCTCTCCTTCCCAAACGGTTCCGAGTCATACTCAAAGGTCAACCTGGATATTTTCCATTCCTGCATGAACAAAAACAATATAAAAACACTGAATAGTCACACAAAAAAGGCCAATGCAATGAAATGAACACAAATGTAATGCGTTTTCTTCAGGTTATTGACATCAGACAAATTAAGAAATGATTTACATTCTTTGTGATACTACATTTATGCACTGACAGCAATATTCTAACGGGACAAATTTTACCTTGAAAAGGCGTGGAAAAACATTGGCTGGTTGCCCTCGGACGACAAAAAGGCGGGAATTGAGTTTTCTTAGATTTGAATCAAGATCATCCAGGCACTGTAGGAGAAATCTGTAGAGAAAAAAAATACATGTATATTTAATTTCTGAGCGCTTTAAAATATTTTCATATAAAAAGAAAAGGTTACTTCATTTTTAGCCTCACCTTCTATAGCATTAAACTAACATTACTGCTGGTGTTTTATCCATAACATTATTTCTGTAAAAGTCCTTTTTTGCATTATTTTCCACTGTAAAAGCAGATAGGCACAATGGGCTGATTGTAATAAGAGACAAATAAATACTTCGACATATAATTAAAAAATTTGCTAAATTGGTTTCATTTTCACAATGTAGTGAATACTTCAGTTACTGTCTGCTTCTGAGATGTCCTGACTTGGCCAGGTTCTTGACCTGACGGTTTGAGAACAACTGATCTAAAAGATCCTCAAGCTTTACCTGTTCTACAAGCTGTTCCTCAAACCAGCAGATGCTCTGAGTTTCCATTCACAAATCTGCCCATTCATGAACCGTTTAAAACTTGAGGAGCTTAATGGTTATTTCCTCTCTACACATCTGTCTTACCAGCTAAAGGGACATTAAAGTAAGTACTAGAGCCTTTAGAGAGTGCTTTATGAATAGATCAGGAAACAGATGACACTCTGCACTTGGATAAAGAGGGCTGTCGTTTTAACTTAAAAATAACACAGAATCAATATATAATTAAGTCACAAATACTAACATGTTATTAAAGTAAAGATAAAATAAAATGATAAACAGTTTTCGTGCATATTGGTAGTGCCTAAGAGTGTGACTAAGATTTCAAGTTAATTTAAGCCATTTGGCAAAAGAAATTAGAAAGTTTGCTGCTTTAACAAAGATAAATTGGCTTTAAATATGATTTAGTACAATAAAAAATGCAATTATATTTTACATTCATTCCTTCGTTTTCCTTTAGCTTAGTCTCTATTTCAGCCACACCGAAATGAACCAACAACTAATCCAGCATATGTTTTATGCAACTCTTCTGTAACCTGCAACCCAGTAGTGGGAAATACCCATACACACGTTCACACACACACACACACACACACACACACACACACACACACACACACACACACACACACACACACACACACACACACACACACACACACACACACACACACGCACTCATACACTACGAATAATTTTATTCATTCATTCATCCATTGGCTTAGTCCCTGTATTTTTTTGTGAGGCGACAGTGCTAACCACCGCACCACCCTATTTTACATTTGATTATTGAATTTCATATCTCAAGACCAAAAACCATAAAGCATTGTTCATTTCATTTTATCTTTATTCTGTTGTTTGCGTCTGTGCTGTATTTAATATCATATCCTGTTGTATATTATATGCAGATGCACTACCTTACAAATCATTCCAATCGATGCATAATACCATATTTTTTCTAAATAAGGTCATCTTGTGAAATTATACTAATAATCGCAATACATAAAAATAAATAAATATACTTCACAATCACACTCCGTTTCTTTTTTTCAATATCGTGCAGCCTTAGTCAAATGCATTTCTTCTTCATAATCTCCATCCTGATTAAGAAACAATCAGGTCAGTGTTTAGTGAACGCCCATATTCAAGCAATGTTTTTTTGTATGTGTGTGCATGTCAATTGATGTATGCATTGGGTCTCTTAGTTTAAATGTCCTCAGATGGATCTTCTGCATCTGGATTTTTTAGGTGCAATATGAAATTCGATACATAACTTTTCACAATATAGAGAACATTTTGTTTCTATGATAGGCATTGTCGCAAAAAACTAAATATATTAATATTATATGATATTAACCTTCCAACTATGACTATTCTATAACTATGCAAAGTCCCACTTACAGTTTTTTCTAATATTATTTCTCTGTAAAAGCATAACACTTTGTACCAGACCCTTAACTATGAGTGTGCAAAAACCCACTCAATTGGCATCCATGCCTACCAAACAGAGCACAGCAATCTGTGCATGAAATATAACTAAGCAGAATGGTTAAACGTTAGCAGCTCCTTCCTGAAAAGAACACTGTGTTCTTTTATTAATGAGGTTATAGTATTTGTCTGAAAGGCTCGTCCGACCTTCTACCTGTGCCTGCTATTTGCTCCTAGTCCTGCCTGAGCCCAAAGTCAGACTGTCTGCAAGCAAAGCCCTGATTAGGGAGCAGACAGGGACAAAGCTCCCTATGCTCCAGATACTGCCGAACGATTGACACACTAACATGCACAAACTACAGCAACATACATACACCTCCATTCATAAAATCCAAAATGAATAAAGAAAACTAATAGATATTGGTTGCATGAGGATGGAAAACTCAAACCTATTTTCCAGAACTCTGCCCTGTCATATATTATTCCTTATGTAACTGGCCTGTCCTAGTTTTGGTTCTCACCACTGGAGGGCATAAAATTAGCCCAGTGACCTCTTTTCAACCACAACAACACTCAACACCTAGTCAGACAAAAGAACACATCCCTGTATTCCTGTTCTGTCCCATCACATGAAAACAACAATAGAGAGTTCAGTCTTTGAAAATAAAGTGCAGAATTCAATTACTAGAAAGAGAACAAATGTGTCTAGCTTCTAAGAAACCAAGATAACAAGTCATGGGCACAGTTCATATTATCAGTTGTTATACAAGATGGATAGCTAACTAAGTGCACGTGCCTGTGCCACTGGTTAAAGTGCTGTGCTTCAGCAACTGCAAACAGAGAAAGTAGGTATTTTTATCTCGCAATCTGCGGGGTGTAAAACATTCCTGCTTACGTGGGTTTGGTTACTAAAGTAAAACATTTTAGATTTCAAGTTACTTTAGCCAGCCAAATCAGCTATCATATGATTAAACAAGCAGTAAAAAAAACATTTTATTGAAATTTAAAATAAGACTTTTTATTATATGATCTTTCAGAAATAATTGTATTACCAAAATATCAATTTACTTGACATTTATTTACAGATACCCATTTCCAAACACTATTGTGCTTTATCAAAACCTACGCATGCATGGTTTCTACTACATTCATTCTTCCATGGCGGGGCGGCACACCAAAATTCATTCCTGCCATGGCTACATTAAAGCTTCTTTTTCAAAACCTTCCCTTGTTCTTGTTTTTTTTAAATAGCGGATTATTAATCGCACCACAACATTAAAATGCAAGTGAATTATAACAGAGCTAATTTTTCTGTAATCGTAGTACTGCTGTGCGTTATTTATTTAACAGTTAAAGGTTACATGCTGACTGACAGGACTGCGCGATGCGGAAGACAAGCAACAATCGTAGCAAGCGAGCAAAATCCTAGATGCAACACTGCTACGTATAACAAAAATTTGAGTTAAGAATTGGGGTTACAGTAGGCATGGGACGATAACCGTTTTCAAGGTATACCACAGTTTGGAAAAGTCAAGTTTTTAAAACCCGTCAAAATTTTCTGCAATACCGTTCCTAAGGTATGTGTAAGATTTTTTATTTACATTTTTTTTTTTTTTAGGACAACAGTATCTCCAGCAGTAAAAAAATCTCTAAAGATATTATTTTTAATTGTAAAAAAAATCTGTTTTTAAACTAATGAAGGCAGTGATTCATTTGAAAAATTTAGCCTGACATGTTTACTGCTTCAAAATATTTTAAATCTTTCACAAAATAAAATGTGTTCAAAGGGGAAAAGTTTTTGGTTTTTACCCAGACATTTAAAAAGAAGTTTTTTTTAGAGTAGTAATCGCAAAATTATGATACTGTGAAACCGTGATATTTTTATCCAAGTTTATCATACCATCAGAATCTTATACTTATAATCTTATGCCCATGCCTAGGTTATAGTAGTTTATTTTATTTTTACAACAATGTTGCTCCAGTAGCTCTTCTTTTGCATTTGCCATATAAATACTGTAACATTCATTTGAGTGCAACAACAGAATGTGCCATTTACTGTAGGTGCTGAAGACCCGAGATAACCTGACCACAAAATTCCAACACTCATTTGTAATTATTTGCAATAGTTTCAGTAGTTCTCCTCCCAAATAAAGTAAAATGAACCCATGACTAGTTAACATTAATTTAATCAGCAACATTTATATCACATTACATTAGATCCATCTTTATCAGTGCATATTGGTTTACATTATGGCACTTTTGAAGGAATTAGCTGTTATAATTTATCCAGTAAAAGACACTTTTCACCTCGCAATCTCAGATCATCTTCTAAATTCACTTACCTAATCCATAAGATGTAAATTTGAGATCCACACAAAAAGTATATGAACAAAATTAGGTGGAAAAGTTCCTTAGAAGAGTCTCGCCAACTGCTTTACTTCTTGTGATATTCTGAAGTGTGCATCCACTTAATATTTTATAATCTCATAAGGCTACAGCAGAAAATTGTAAAACATATAAAAAATAAAAAGATATGCAGCTGATGCTGGTAGATCAACAGGTGATAACACAGCACATGTAGTACCCACATTGTGACCCACATTGATATTTTTTGTTTATATAAATGCTTTTGCTTATAAAGGGGAGAAAGTTAAAGAAACTGACTGAAAAACGAAAGAAAAGGCGGCAAGCAATAAACATTTTTTAATGCATCCATGTGTACAAACTTTTTTGAATGCGATAATTCGTTTGACAGCACCATATGATTATATTGAGGACTAGCTTTATGTATAAATATGTTAATGTGTTATATAAAAAACAAACACCACCACACACACCATACAAAATCTAGGATAATATAAATAAATTTACCCGGTCATGTAATTGCTGCAATGAAAGGTATGCAATAATCATGGCGGAATAAACAACAAAAATAAATAAATAAATTCAAACCTTGCGACAAAACTAGACGGTTATTATTGTGGACCACTTTTCCCCCTTACAAAAATAAATAAATAATAATGTAGACCGTGTATCCATACTTTTGTAGCTTTCATCTGTTATTTTGTGATATCTGTAAGGAGAAAAACTATGGTAATTTAGAATAAATGTTTTTGAACCACATAGTAAAGTGTATAATGCGTACAAATCTTTGGTTGATGAATGGTACCAAATACTGTAGCATAGTAAACAAACTGTAATAAATACTGTAACATTAGTGTAAACTGTGGTTCATTGTAATTTTAGCGTATAACACTGAAGCATATTAAATAATTAGTTTATTACTACAGTTGTGTTGTGTCACAGCAACAATATAATTACTACGACAGTTTAATACAAGTAATTATCTATTGTATGCTTCCAAACACTATAGTATTTACTTTAGTATTTTTCATGTAACGTAATTATATAGTATGTACCGCATCGATGACAGGCAAATATATTTTATTTTGTTAGAAAACTTCTCCCTTTTCATGATATAACGATCACGCCCATATATGTGCTTATTTTATGTTTAGATCTCCTTTGAAATATGGTGTACATCACAAAAATACAACCTTTCCTCTATGTCTCCCATTCAGTTTTTTACCTGAACCTGCCCTTTATCTTAATTTTAGCACATTTTTTATTGATGAATTTAACCGCAATTATAAATTAAGTTTAAATTTAAATGTAGTACCTCAAACAGCATGTGATTTTGCATTCTAACTGAGTCTAAAGACACTAGTAGCTGATTCACGTGTGTTTAAATATGGTGGGAGCTAAAGTCTAAGAACTCTAAACTCATTTACACATTTAGAACAGACAGCTCAACGTGACCTGCAATCTCCCTGCATTACAGTACCTAAAGTTGGTCCTCAACAGGTGTTTTAGGTAAGAATGTACTGTGGAGGCCATATGAACACTGCACCTGACAAATGAAAAATCCAGTCACAGGTGCTTCATCTTTTAATCTAGTGAATTAGCTCTCATTAACATTCAGTCAGATCCCTCTACATCCATTCAGTAGGTGAGGAGGGCTGAATGACAAGCTCTGAGAGCAGACTGTCTGATTGTCTTTTGAGAGCGAAGCATCTGCTGGTCTGCAACTTGGCCTACTTATCCTGACTGTTATGGCATCAGATGGATCTGCATACGCGGCCATGTGGTCAGATTACTTCATGTGTGGGTATTCTCTGGTCGAAAATAGAAGCGCATAGGCATATATGACTGCTCACATCCCACTAATGAAAATATGACATCCGTTTTGCAAAAATAGCAGGTGTGAATCAGTTATATTAAATTCATTATAAATTCAGAACCATTTAGGCTTGGCTTCAGAAAGTAAATTTCTGAAAAACCACTTGGGAAAACACAATGTTTTTTGATCATCATTTACTGATAACCTAAGATCAATATAAAATGGATAGATTCACTTACAATGGGAATGGAATTTTAGAATTAGTCAAATCCAGATGTGATTGCCAGTAAAACTATAACGTTGCAATCACATTTTTCATTTAATCTTCATTTAAATAAAATGTCAAAGTAGATTTGCGCTGTTGTGATTCACAGTGGGATGCAGCGGCAGAAGAAAATTGATTAGACTGGTTATGCTGTCATCAAACTGTGTCAACTCGTGTTTCTGGTTTATGTAACAAAGGGGTTAATTTTCAATGGAACAGGCTGTACAGAAATGGAAAAACGCATTACAGAGTGACCTAAATATCAGTTTTTGACCCTCATTCAAATGCAAACAACATAAAGGTTGACATAAGACGAGATATCAGTTACAGTGATAAAAAAGCTCATTTTAAACCTAATAGGGAAACTATTCACTTCAGCAGCGTTTCTTGGCCGATTTTACATATATAGGTCAAATATAAAATTTGGTGATGCTTTAAATCCATGTAAAGTAACTAGTTTGTCACATAAATTCTGTGGATATAAAAATGTACAATCATCAACGTCACAGTAATTGATTGCAAAAAAAATATTTTACTGTTACATCCTTAAGTAAAAGATTAACTTAAAAACTAATTTGTTTTCTCTAGTCGCTTAATGAAATACAAAAATTGTTAGATTTTTTAGAAAAAAAAAAACATGAATAATCTACAATGTTCCGGCAATCTGTGATTTACGCTCAAGTAAGTTTTATCATTCAAGGTAATGTTTTAGTCATTAAATGTAATGCTAATTCTCTGTTACATCAGTGTTATCTATTACACCAAATAGGATATATATATATATATAAGTTTAAGATTCTGACTCAAATATCTTGGTTTCGCAGTATTACAATATTGTGATTACAGCTCTAAAATAAATCCTTTTTAAACGTTTTAGTATTGACCTTATTCTAAAATGCGGAAGTGCGCCTGTTTTCGCGATTGTCTTAGAACTTCCGATTCAGTCGCCTATGGGAGAAATGACTAGTAATAATAAACGGCAGAAAACGGTCAAACTACTTGCTTTACAAACAAATGTTTGCATGACTATACAGACCAAGAAAGAAAAAATGTAATAAGAAAATATCGAATTGCAACATCAAGCAGCGTAACGAGCAGTTTTTAACGTCAAAAATGAATAGAAGTGAATAAGACCAGAAGTCTCAAGCCAAAAAGATTCAAATGGCAGCGCCCGCTCGTCGGCGAAGAATAAGGTGAATAAAGCAACTATTTTTTACCCCATTGAACACAATATATTTAATTTTAGGAAACAAAAACCACAGGTTTTTTTTTCCAAACCACAGTAAACTTTGAAACCGGTTATCATAATAAGCCTAATAAATAACAGCATAAACAGATAGATTTCTAATAAATAAGGGATGTTTTGTATAATTAAATGGACATTAAACTAACAAAATATTAATTTGTCTGTATTACTAATATATTTTTTACACCCACGAACAGAGAGAGTTACCAGAAATAGACAAAAACTGAAAGCAGACACAGTAGCTTCTATTTCTATTTCTGGACAGAGAGTTTGAGAAGCCATGATGGGATTCTCTACCTGAAATCTCATCCTTATAATGTCATTACTGTACATAAATATATATAGTTCAGTATTCATAAACATAGTTGCAAATACTCATTTTTAGACCAAAAGTCAAAAGCAGAATAAACAGTTAGAATAAAAAGCTTATGTCAGCATCTGCTTCTGCTGACCTTTACTGTTAATAATACAGAACAATGCTAAAATCACAGTAGCTCAATAACAATAATCTCTCACTTTTTGCCTAACCATCATCATTAAGAGCAACATACATTTATGTTTAAATGAAACAGCATATTTAGTAAAAACAACTGATCATACTAAAATTCATTATATTTTAAATATAGTTTCACTTCCTTACAAAACATCTTGCTCACAATTGGGTAAAAGCTAGTGTTCAAACTTAAAATGGCTGATCTGAAGTGTGATCCTTAGTAGAGTCTTTCAATATTATGCGAAATATTAATGACAAGTAAGAATGCTTTGATCGATCGGTCGAAAATGGATATCAGCCGATAATAACATTTTATGACTCGATCAGTACTCGCCAATCAGGCTGATCTTACTATTAGCAAGTGCTCGTTAACGGGTTTACAAGCAGAAGATCCATTTTAACTTTGTATGCATCAAATATGAATTCCAAACTTTTTCTTCATTGCGACATGTTGAATTCTTCTTTCATTTGCAATGTGATATTTTTCTTACCAAATTTTTACCTTTCTTATCTATTGTTTTCTGTAAAGCTGCTTCTGATCATGACCTGTCCACACTAAATGGTAATAAGAGACATGTTTAAAGGATTATATGCAACATCCTTCATTTTTTCTCTTAGGAAAGCTAAGTATCATACTTAAAGGGAAAATGTGCTCTATGCAATGTTAAAGTTTGAAGCATCAGAATCGGTACTCTGTGTAGGCTTCAAAAATCCTGATTGGAGCACAATGACAAGATTTTTGTGGAATATAATTTACTCTTAAGGCTACTACACACGGGCTTTTCGTTTGCGTTAATCGTCAGCGTTTTACGACACGTTTCTCCGTGTTCAAACCCAAGCGATTTACACTAGCGTCAAGCAGAAGAGTATGCAAAATCACTCCTTGACGTTAGATGGGGCTACACAACTTTAAGCTTCTGACACACGCTTAGAAGAAGAGGAGGCGAGGAAGTTCACACGCTTGTTGTTAAAGTTACTGGTGACTCAAACTAGCATGGATGGTTCAAGGAGCAGCTCCAGCTCTAGCTATGAAGAAATGATTATTGTTCACAAGAGCAATAAGCAGCTAAACATTCATATCGCCTCTGGGCATCTTCTTTCAATGTGCGCTCGCATTGACAGTTTTGCGCTTGAGTGCCTCCAAGTGCTGTTTACTGTAACTTTAGCAGCTCCGTGCACGTGATCCAAAGTGCCGATCTGATTGGTGGCATCAAAACAAAAAAAACAAGCATGAGGCGTTTTTTTTTTAAATGACGCTTTTGCACCTGCCGTTTTGTGCGTTGGTTCGCACAATCACATTGACGCCCTTTATTTAGTCATGAGGCGTTAAACGCTGACAGAAAACGCAAGCAAAAAACGTCTTAGTGTGCACGGGTCTTTACATTTTATATTTCAGAGGGTGCCGTTTTTTGAATCATGCTAAATGTTAGTAAAATATTGATAATGTTAGTCAAAGTATTGTCAGGCATTATTTTAGACAGGAGTTAAACTAGACACATTTTAATGTGTGTGTGTGTGTGTGTGTGTGTGTGTGTATATATACAGTACATACATATATATAATATGTGTATATAATATGTGTCATATTAAACATTTTTTGTTGCTTGCCATTCTCTTTTTGTCTCTGACCCATATGCCAAGGTACTCCACTTTTCAAGTTGCATAACATATAACACAATTACACTGAGATAAGGCTAGTTTTTAGTATCAGCTGCAACCATATTTGATTATCTATTAAACAGTGACTGTATTTGTGGTGTTTTATTGCCCAATAAAATGTGCACTGAAATGATGTCAGTGATTGATTCAGCTCACATGAGACACTGAGATAATTTCAGGCACTTTGATTTGAACATTATTAATTGATATTTTGCTTAAACTGCACTCACCTCCACCTATTAACCCCAAGGTTGGATGACCCAGCAAACCAGGGATCCAGAAAGTAGACACATCGAACAGTGTCTGCCCCACGCACTGCCTCCTGAAGCGCAGGGTTGTCATGAAGACGAAGACCCTTCCGGAACCAGTGGATGGAATTTGGGGCCATGTTCACTGAGTCACCCTTCAAAAACAAGAGTTAAACCAGAACCTTCATTGAATTATTAGAAAGGACGTCATTGGCAAACGTTTGATATGCTCTAATAAGCTAATTTAAAAAAAGCTTTAATCATTAAGTAACTTTTCTTTCCCTTAGGAAATCTAATTTTCAACTTAACAACTCAAAAATGAATATTCTATCATCATTTACTCATCCTCCACTTGTTTCAAACCTGATTAAGTTTCTCTCTTGTTGCACACAAAAGAAGATATACTGAAGAAGGCTGGGGGGAACAGCCATTGGTTTCCATTCTAAAGGCTGATTTATACTTCTGCGTCAAACGCACGCGTATGCTACGCCGTTGACGCATAGCCCTTCGCCGTTGCTGACGTGCACCTCTCAAAAACTGTAACTACACGTCGCAACAACACGTAGCGCAAGCTCTGTGATTGGTCGGCTTGGTAGCGCTGACGAGTCTGGGCGAGACCGAGAGCCGCGCGAATGGCGTGAGCAATTGTTTACAAGTGTGGAGTCCCATGAAGGAGCTCCGGATGGAAAATTTTGATCTGTTTACCTCATGGTTAAAGCTGTTGCATGTCTGCCGGTTCCTGCCTCAAAATTAGCGAGTTTGAGTCACTTGTACATCCAGGAAGTGTTAAGGAAAAGCAAAACAGCAGCAAAGAAACTCGACACAGAGGAACATTTACACCTCACTGCCAACTAGCGTTTCGGATGTGTCAATGCAGACCATCAGAGACAGCGCGCAGAAGTATAAATGCACAGCTACGCGCATTGCATACGCCGTGGGTTACGCCGGTCACTTGACACAGAAGTATAAACCAGGCTTAAATACTAAAGGGCTGCACACTATTAGAAAAATCATTGTAAAATATTTTTAATTCGGTCATATATATCATGACTATATATATAATTTAAGACTGGGATGCTTCTTTAGGGAAGTGAATCTGCATAAAATATCACAAACAATCGACAAGCATAGATAAACCTAATAAAGAAAAACATACCAATTAAATAAAGTGTTTTATTTTTTTGTGTTTTTATGAGTCTAACTGTATTCAGCATATAATAATTGAATAAATAAATGTAAAATAATATTACATAGTTTTCGTTGAATGAACAATTCAATAAAATAATCGTTATTAATCTTTCAAAGTTACAAATGGTACAATTTATTATGTCTTTATGCTTTTAAAATCCTCATACAGTTACATACCTTAAAAAACACTTGCAAAGTGATAAATTATAATCCAGACTTAACACTGCATATACATACAATGTGACTTGTGAAATTAGGGTGTGAACTATCCCTTTTTTGTCAATTAAACACATAAAAATCTATTAAAATACTTGAAATTCTATCCTTTGCAACATCTTACAGTCAACATAATAGTTTAAAAAGTATTTGCTGAGACTCAGAGAAAAGAAAACATTTTAAATGACTAACATCTCCAACACCACCTTATAACAGAAAAGCAAGGACATTACCAAGTGATGACTGTGTTTGCTAGATTTTTTCTTCTTTATTTGACATCCGCATCATTAATGCCATAAAAATGGGTTGTCGTTTGTTCTCTCTGTACAGAGACCATTTGGCATAGTTTTTTTTTTCTTGTCCTATTTTTTCCTCACGACAGAGGAATCCCCCAGATCCGGACCATCTGAGCAGTCATTCTTGTGATATTTAATTCTTGACTCTGGCTCAGGATATGTGACGTCTACATTGTACTGAACTCATTCATACAGTCTGTCGATTCCATACTGTCTCTCATGAAAAATGAGAAAATCATACATGTCAAAACGTCAATTATAGAAATACTCCAAAGGAGGTAGAGGAATTACCATAATTTATTTATAAGGTTAAACCTCTGTCTAAGGGAGCTTATTAGGTATATGTGCCCTGGGAATTAGCATGGGCTCTATTTGGAACTGATCCAGCAAACTGTGCTGGCAGCCGTTCTGCTGCAATTCTTAAAGACACATATTGAAAATTTTTTGAGCCAACAAACCGAAATTAACATTGCTTTATGAATACTAAAAGAACAAAAACTTTATTTTTGCATGAAAATTTGCTAAGCAACAATTAAATTAAACATTAAGTCTATTACACATAAACTGCATATTATATGGTTCCCTATTTTACACAATCATACAGTCACTAATACATTAGAAGACCATTCTTTCACATCTTTTTAATGGCCTGCTCAGTGGTAAGACTTTGTGTACTTTGAGATTACATTTCTTTTCATCAAATAGAAAAATCCAAATTTCACATTTAAGAACTTACGGTATCACAAATTATCTATTATTATAGGTAGATTTCAATTATGAAGCATATTACAATTGTAATAACTGCCTCCACAAACAGCTAGAAATATCTAATTTAGAATCTTTAATATTAATACTTTAATAGTAACCTTTTCTATATTATACTTTTACAAAGGCTTTTGTTAATAGCCTGATTTATGTGAACAATTTGATCCAAATATTGTATTTTTATTATTTCTGACTAACAGTATTTTCTGATTTATAAAGTGATAAAAAAGATTGGCAGGTTTTTAATGATAACAAATATTGGTAAATGCTTCATGTGAGAATTTTGTGTCAATAAAAATAAATGTAAACTTCTAAAGCTGACTTTCTGTTTGGAAATCTGTGCAATTTAGTGTATATTTAATCAGAAAATTCATCATTTGCATATATAAACCAAACATTACAGAAACCTCAACTGACAGTGAACAACAGCAAGCCTAATGTTACCTGATAGATCATCTACCAGAACTACAAGCCCTAAAATAAAACTTGATGCACCGCCAAACGCACCTCAGACACACCTTAACATTAACAGATGTTGTGGGTGGAAATGATGTCATTTTCACAATTGTTGTAATTACAAGTTATCACTCATTCATTTTAAAATTCTACACAAAATATGCCCGGTCAATGCATTTATTTCAGTTTTCTGATTTTCTGCAGATACAGTGAGGAAACTTTGACTTGCGTGTTTTTTACATGTAAAATCTCACAAAACTTTTGGTTAGATTTGCATAATTATTTAAATAAATCACAATCACAAAAACAACTCTTTAACTTGAAATATATCATTTGTTATTATTCTAATCCCAAAAAAAAGAATATAGAATATACATAAAGCTCAGCATAATTGAGTACACCCCATTTTGAAAATGAATATTTTTATCCATTTATCAGTAAATATCGGCAATGTACTTTGGAGCATTTCAACAAAACAGATTTATTAATCAGATGTTTATTAAAATAATATTTTAGTCACTAAACATATTTAGAAATAAAAATAATACAATTAAATTCAAGCTAAATATTGCAAAACAAAACTACAAACTACAAAATTTCAACTAAAATTTCCTTTTTTTTTTTTGTTTATCTTGATTTTTCCTAACTTTTAATATTTGTATTCAATATTTTTTCTATATCATAAATGTGGGTGTACAAGTTTTTTGACCATAATTGTAACTTATTTTTGTATATAAGCTCAAGAATTTACTTTAATACTGACTATTCTAATGTATATGCACAAATATATTATTGTATGGCTTTCTATTAAAAATATTAATTTAAAAGAGAGATTTGTGAGGGGTATAGGCTTGACACAGTATATACATTCTTATATCAACTTACATTCTAAATTCTTCATCCACAAACCAAAATTTCCTAAATACTCTACCTCATTTGCTCATTTCCCAAATTAAATCTTCTTTGTTAAAGTTAATGTTTAGATTTCTTAATGTTAATCTAACAACAAAAGATCCCCTAGTTAATAAACTTATGAAAATATCATGCTTCCAGTAAATCAATTTTTAATGCTTTCTGTAATTTGTTTTTAACTTTGTACATCCCCTTCATTTAGTTTTTTTTTCTCCTATTTCTCATTTGTTACTTATTTTTCTTATCTTTTTGTAATTGAATGTGCTTGTATTCCAGTCTCTTACAGATTACTTCCTGATTTATATTGTACATTTCTTTTCTACATAAGTTCACGCTTTAAAAAACATTATCCTTAATAAAGACCACCGAGGCAGCTACAAACCATAGTAAACAATAGAAATGATTTATATGCAAAAACAGGTATGAAAACACCATCTTTCACATTAATAAAACAGCTTTTTAGAGAGGGAGCGCGATTACGTTAGTAGTCCATAAACACACTGAAAACACCACGGTCTAGAAATTAGGTCAAATCCAAGTAGGTGAAACTGGCGAGATATTGCAGTTAATTGTAAAGCATATATCTCACATTCTGCAGTATGACAACACTAAATACAACCCACGAGACATACAAAGGGAAACATAAAGACAAATATAACTAAAACATCTAAAACGCTAAGAAAACAAGCGTGTGGAATGGGGTCAACCGCGCAGGTTATGTAAGGCTTTTTAGGTGACAACAAATAAAGGCTAAAAACTTAACAAAAAAGACTTTAATACATTACCTTTTAACGTTATGTCAGTCCCGAACACAAGACCATCTCTTCCCACTGTTTAGCGAAAGCTTTATGGTTCAAAAAACGATGCTTTTCCCGATTGAGTCTGGAGCAAAGAAGGACAATATGACTTCATAAGCTGTCGGTGCACGCGCCTGCTCAGTGCAGCTCTCTCTGCTGTTCTCAATGTGGATTTTCTAGTGACTAGAGAGCGGAGTGATGGCGGTTCTGATTGGTCGAGACGATGTCACGTGTTACGAGGACGCTCACGTTTGAGAAGCATGGAAGAATGAGAGCTGCTTAAAAGCAGGTGAATGGGATCCATTTAACTGTGTTTATCGAAAATAAGAACATGTGCAAAGAAAGGAGATGAAATAGTTTTTTTACCTTATTCTGCGACGCGGACGTGCGATTTTTGCTATTGTTTTGGACCTTCCGATTCTGTTTCCTACGGGAGAAATGACTAGGAATAATAAACAGCAGAAAACGGCCAAACTCTACAAACAAGCGTGTTCATGTCCATGAAAAAAATAGAAAATAAGGGAATAATATAATAAGACATAACGAGCTGTTTTAATCAATGGAGGTGTCAAGAATAAGATCAACAGGCTGGTATGGATAAAAAAGCGCGAGTGTGCGTGTGAAGATTTTTGGATTTACTGATTTTATTTATTTATATTTATGTGTTTGAGTAATATTTTAATTAAATTAAAACATTAATTAAACATTTGCCATTTATGATATTTTTTGTTTTAGAATAGCAAAAAGGTGCCATGTTAAAAAAAAAACCCGACGCACAGTGGTCACTGCAGACATCAGCCTGCTGCGTGCTCTCTGCTGCACCACTCCATTGAGTTTATTTCAGTGGTCATTCATGGTAACTGCTAATTAATTTCCTCCTTTTCCTTAATTTATTATTTTGTTTTAGGCCCGTAGCCAGCCTGTTAAAGGGGGTGGTTCTTTTTCTCCTCATTTTCTATCTATTTATGAGATTTAAATACGGCATTTTAGTGACATTTTAAGCACTATATTTAGCTGAATTCGCTTGTCGAGTGGTCATCATAACCACATTTTTAATGTACAAAAAATTATTATAAATAAATAATTCTAATAAAGAAATAGGAAAAATTCTTATTTTTTAAAATACAAATTCATTACATCATAATATCATTAGAAAATAGGAATCTGTTAAACTTTTAAATTAAAAATAGCTTATTGTCATTTATTAGGCAAATAACAAACTGTCCACAAAATTCAACTGTCCTTAGTCAGAATTTGGCAATTTTTGAATAAGAAATATTCAAACATAATAATAATAATGGCGACACAGTGGTGCAGTAGGTAGTGCTGTTGCCTCACAACAAGAAGATCGCTGGTTCGAGCCTCAGCTGGATCAGTTGGCTTTTCTGTGTGGAGTTTGCATGTTCTCCCTGTGTTTGCGTGGGTTTCCTCCGGGTGCTCCGGTTTCCTCCACAGTCCAAAGACATGCGGTACAGGTGAACTGGATAGGCTAAATTGTCCCTGGTGTATGAGTGTTAATGAGTGTGTATGGATGGGTTTCCCATAAATGGGTTGCAGCTGGACCCATATGTTACATCGGCTGCGTAAAACATATGCTGGATAATTTGGCAGTTCATTCCGCTGTGGCGACCCCGGATTAATAAAGGGACTTAGCCGAAAAGAAAATGAATGAATCAATGAATAATAATAATTTACAGCTTCACGATTTTTGTAGCCTCTCTTGTAAAAAAAGGACATTTTAATAATCATGGATAACAACAGCTAAAGCCAAATCAGTATTCAAAAATAATTGTAATATGGTACGTTTTTGGTGCTTCACACCATTTCATTGACCACTTTTTGTTTCAAGAATAAGGTCCAGAATTTAGAATAAGAGTCACTTGTTAAATGTTTTCTCTATTTAAAAACAATACAGTAGCTAAAACTGACTTCACTTATGTCAGATCGTATGTTTTCTTGCACAGCTGGATGTTGGACTCTAGAAAAATAATAGTTTGCATTGGTCAAAACAGATTAGCTGTAGTCACAACAACCCTTTTCAATGGGTTATTTCACAACTTATGATGGCATAGCAATCAAAATAGGACAACAGCTCACGATTGGGACAAATTCTGGATCTTTGTCCGTGAGGGGGGAGTCTTTCGAACCACCTGAACACCCCCTGGATACGGGCCTGTCTTTTCTTTTTTATTTACATTTAGATTTAAAAAAAAAAAAACTAGAAAACTATGATTAACTATGTGTACTGAAGCCACAATGGTGCATTCATGCAAAACACCAAATACATCTGCATGCAGTATTGTGTGCCACTCTGTCTTTGATGCTTTGCATATTTTCTTGCAGCATATAGTTTTGTTCAATAGATCATATAGTTAGATGAGCAGACCTCAGGCCTCTTTCTTAAAAAATAAAACAAGTTTGTGAAATATAGCTGAATAATTTTTAGTATTTGATGGTTTTCAATGTAATGTGTATTCATATAGCACATTTATCATACTCCCAAAGCACTTCACTATCATGTAGGGCATAGGTCTCAAACTCAATTCATGGAGGGCTGGAGCTCTGCACAGTTTTGCTTCAACTTTACTCGAACACAGCTGAACCAACTTATCAAGATGTTAAAATTAGTTTTGAACACCTTGATTAATTGGATCAGCTGTGTTTGAGAAGGGTTGGAGCAAAACTGTGCAGTGCTGCTGCCCACCAGGAATGCAGTTTGAGACCTACTGTATAATGTAGGGCAGGCATGTCCAAACTCGGTCCTGGAGGGCCAAAGTTTAGTTCCAACCCCAATCAGACACATCTGGGCTAGCTTATCAAGCTCTTACTAGACTTTCTAGAAACATCTTTGCAAGTGTGTTGAGGAAAGTTAGAGCTAAAATCTGCAGGACACCGGCTCTCCGGGACCGAGTTTGGACACCCCTGATGAAGGGGACCTCTCCACACCACTAATGTGCAGCATCCACTTGGATGATGTGACGGCAGCCAGGACAACGGTGCCAGTGCACTCCCCACACACCAGCTATTGACTGAAGAGACAGTGATGGAGCCAATTCTGTGGATGAGGATAATTGGGAGGCCATGATGGGTCAGAGCTGATGGAAGGTTTCACATCAGTCAAACCATTGTCATTGGACATTTGGCATCAGCAATGTAATGGGTATATATTTTTTTTACTATTCTCTGTAAATCCTAGAGATTTTTGAATGTGAAAATCCCAGTAGACACAGTCCCATTGACTGCCAGCACATGCCACTTTAAAAGTGACTTAAATCACTTTTCCTCCCAATTCTCATGCTCATGTTTGAACTTCACTAGGTCAGTTGGTGTGGCCTTTTTTAGAGATGGAGGTAGTCTTGCTCTGGATCTTGAATTGTACAGTCTTTAAATGAGTTTTCAGAGGTGTAGTGTTGGTCAGCCTCTTGAAATGTAAAACCTTGGTCAGGGTTTTTAGGGGTGTAGTCTTGGTCTGGAGCTTGACTTCTATTGTCTTGATATGAGTTTTCAGTACTGTAGTCTTTCTCTGAATCTTGAAGTGCAATGTCTTGTTCTGGGTCTAAAATTGTGTAATCTCGATCTAGGTTTGCAGGGCTATAGTATTGCTCTGGGTCTTGAATTGTAAAGTCCTGGTCTGGATTTTAATTTTGGTCTTGGTTTCAGAGCTGTAGTATTGATGTGGGTCCTAGTGCATAGTTTTAGCCTTGTTTGGGGTCTTAAGAGGTGCATTCTAGGTGCAGGCTTGAGGTGGCCTTCAGGGGTGTTGGTCTGGATCTTGGACTGTATAGTCTTGGTCTGGGTCTAGAAGCATAGTTTTGGTCTGGATCTGGAAGTGTATAGTCTTGGTCCAGATCTTGAAGTGTAGTCTTGGTCTTGAAGTACAGTCTTGGTCTGGATCTGGAAGTGTATAGTCTTGGTCTGGGTCTAGAAGTATAATCTTGGTCTGGATCTGGAAGTGTATAGTCTTGGTCTGGGTCTTAAAGTATAGTCTTGGTCCAGATCTTAAAGTGTAGTCTTGGTCTAGGTCTTAAAGTATAGTCTTGGTCTGGATCTGGAAGTGTATACTCTTGGTCCGGATCTTGAAGTGTAGTCTTAGTCTGGGTCTTAAAGTATAGTCTTGGTCAGGATCTTAAAGTGTAGTCTTGGTCTAGGTCTTGAAGTGTAGTCTTGGTCTGGATCTGGAAGTGTATAGTCTTGGTCCGGATCTTGAAGTGTAGTCTTAATCTGGGTCTTAAAGTATAGTCTTGGTCTGGATCTTAAAGTGTAGTCTTGGTCTAGGTCTTGAAGTATAGTCTTGGTCTGGATCTGGAAGTGTATAGTCTTGGTCTGGGTCTAGAAGTATAGTTTTGGTCTGGACCTGGAAGTGTATAGTCTTGGTCTGGGTCTTAAAGTATAGTCTTGGTCCGGATCTTGAAGTGTATTCTTGGTCTGGGTCTTGAAGTATAGTCTTGGTCTGGATCTGGAAGTGTATAGTCTTGGTCCGGATCTTGAAGTGTAGTCTTGGTCTGGGTTTTGAAGTATAGTCTTGGTCCGGATTTTGAAGTGTAGTCTAGGTCTGGGTCTTGAAGTATAGTCTTGGTCTGGATCTGGAAGTGTATAGTCTTGATCTGGATCTGGAAGTGTATAGTCTTGGTCCGGTTTTTGAAGTGTAGACTTGGATCTGGAATTGTCTTGGCCTGAGGTTTAGTGGTAGTCGGTCTGGATCTTAAAGTGTAATGACTTAATCTGGGTTTCTTGGGTTATAGTCTTGGTCTAGATCTTGAAGTGTCTTGATCTGGGTTTGTAGGGGTGTAGTCTTGTTCTGGATCTTGAATTGCATAATCCTGATTTAAACTTTCAGGGGTGTAGTCTTGGTCTAGATCTTCAAGGATGTAGTTCTGGTCTGGATTTTGAAGTGTATAATATTGGTCTGGATTTTCAGGGCTGTAGTATTGGTCTGGGTCTTAGCGCATAGTTTTGGTCTTGTTTGAGTTCTAAAGAGGTGCAATCATGGTGTGAGTTTGAGGTGATTTTCAGGGATGCAGCCTTAGCTTGCATGTAAGAAAAATTTTTTTGAAATATGTCTAATGTTTGGACTTACTCTGGTTCTGGGTCTTAAGTAGCATAATCCCGCTGTAAGTTTTAAAATATATAGACTTAGTACGGCTTGGTGGTGTAAACCTTTTTCTGT